CACTGAAGATGCCGGTCTAAGTCCTACCCGAGTCGTAATTTTACCTTATAATCGACTAGCTGTGTCAGCGACTTCGTCCGCGTATAATAGTTATTTTAGGCAGCCAAACTCGTTTTTGCAAACCCCAAACGGTCGCGTCATTTCCCGTTGTTCTTGCAAGTTCATCTTAAAAGATAGTGGCGGACTTTTTTAAATAATTTAAAGAGGAATCATTCTTTTCTACATATTTTTGGGTATCTTGAACCGTTTCTCCAGCGTACGTCTCGAATATTATATAAATAATATAAATATAAGATAAATTCTCTAACCGACACAAAAATATTTTTTCAATTCGACCCCGTAGTACCTGAGGTTAGCGCTTTCAAACAAAGTTTTAAGTATGCAGAATAAATTATTGCTAACTAATTGTGTGGTTTATGGGTTGAAATTATATTCGGTTTCGGATTTAACCACATTCGCCCCATCTCTAATTACAACGCACCTACTTATTGCAGTCGACTCGATTAATGGTGTAACTTATTATGTAATACCCTTTCACGAATACAGTATAAATATTCTGAGCTGCAAAAACTTTCAAGTTGATTAAAATATATGTAATCTTCATTCTTCATCCATTAGCGTTTTGGTAAGATTTATAAGGGAAGTTTGAGTATAAAGGCCTCTCACATTTCACTTCAATCAATAGACATCTACGATTAGTATTTTTATTTTTTTCACCAATAAATAGACACTGAATTAAAGCAAAACACATCTCTGTTTCTGACAAACTAAAAAAAAAACTCTTCTAGTAGCATCTTTCTTCCGAGAAAACGAGACAAACCAACCTTACTATTTATGTTTTTAGCCAATACTTTAAACGGCTCAAATAGTACCTCAGACTTATAAAAATTGAGATAATTTTTCCGTCTATTTCCAGACCGTTACAACAATAATTGGGTAACTTAGAAAATAGGTTATAGGTCCAATATATTTTCAACCACGTTTTTCGATGTCGACAACGCCATTTCATAATAAATAACTGCCACAGTAATTGTGTATAAGTACGTCCAAGTTACGTAACGCTCTGAGAAAGAGTAAAATAATGGATATTTAGCGGTTAACCTATATTCCGCAACTTATACCGACACTTGTTCCCGTAATTAACGCTAATTATATATTAGCACTAAGTATATTGTATTAATTTATACTAATATTATCAAGCTGAAGACTTATGTACGCACTAATCTGTGGAACTACAGATTCGAAATGAAAAATTATTTTTTTTGTCGAGGGGTGCATTTATCAGGGAAGGCTTTAGGGTATAAAATATCAGGCTGAGACAGGAGCGTTGCAACTTTCGGGATAAAGTTGCAAAAGTCCGCTGCGAAGATTGTTCCAAATACAAAAAAATATGTATGAGATACAGTATGATTGCGCTTCCGCTGAACGAAAAAAGTCCTGATGGTAATTACTAAAAAAACTTGTATGAACGACGGCATCGGACGAGAGTAACAGCTATAAATAAACATGAGGTTTGCAAAAGTGAAATTTTAATGCCCAAAATAACGATGCCACCCAGACAAAGTCGCGGGCAGAGCTAATACAGTATAAAGACATATATAACTTAAAGACTACGTATTACTTCACGCTGTAGAAATTAAGGTTTGTGTGAGTTGCAAACTGCAGTGTGATGCAGGAATCGAACTCAGAACGAACGGTAAACAATTCACTACGCGTACAACGCATCACGGAGACAAACACCAATACAAAGTAACAACTTATTAGCATCAGAAACAACAGAACACATCGCAAGGTCGTTCGCTTATAACTTTTACTAAGATTGATTTTAAATTGGGTTATGGTCACGACCAACACGGCGATGGTTTGAATACCACGATACATCATAGACGCGACATTAGATCTCTATGATGGGCGTATGATTACTAGTTCTAGACGGTTTATGTGTGTGTGAAATCTCGTTTCCGCCTCGTGGGGCGTGGGACGAACACATTTCTGTGTCCGTTTCACTGATAAGTTCTTTTTAACAGGCAAATAGTTGATCAGAACTTCGTGCCCTATCCGACCGAAACAACATTTTTTTTTGTTCCCCTCCGGGATTCGAACCTAGGACCTCTCGTGCATAACGTAAAGTCAGGCAATACGTTTAACCATTTGGCTAAAGAGGCGGTTTATAGCAGAAAGCATGTAGTTCACTTCTTGGAGGTTAAAAGACACTACTTAACCCTTGAATAGACAACAGGCGCTTTCTCCTTAACAAGCACACATTGTAACAAACGTTAAGTCAATTTTTTAAATTGTTTGTATATGTGTGTGTTAGGAATACATAATAGGTGTAGCTTTGGGACATATCATCGCGGAGAGAAAAAAAAATTTTTTTTTTTTTTTAAAAAACAAAAAAAGGGAGGGGGACCCCCCCCCATTTTATTTTTAAAAAAAAAAAAAAAAAGGAAAAGAAAACACCCCCCCTTTTATTTATAAAAAAACCCAAAAAAAGGAGGGGAACCCCCCCCCCCTTTTTTTTATAAAAAACCACAAAAAAAGGGGGGGGAGCCCCCCCCCCTTTTTTTTATTTAAAAACCCCCAAAAAAAAAGGGGGACCCCCCCCCCTTTTTTTTTTTAAAAACCCCCCCAAAAAAGGAGGGAAAACCCCCCCCTTTTTTTTTGAATAAAAACCCCCAAAAAAAAAGAAAAAACCCCCCCCTTTTTTTTTTTGGGGGAAAAAAAAAAAAAAAAAAAAAAAAACCCCCCCTATTTTATAAAAAAAAAAAAAGGAAAAATTTTTTTTGGGGGGGCAAAAAAAATTTTTTTTTTTTTTTTTTTTTTTTTTTTTTTTTTTTTTAAAATTATGGGGTTTTTTTTTTTTTTTTTTTTGGGGGGGGCGGGGGCCCGGGGGGGGGAAAAATTTTTTTTTGGGGGACCCCTTTTTTTTTTAAAAACCCCCCCCCCTTTAAAAAAAAAAAAAACCGCCGACGGAAGTTTAAGGGGGAGGGGTGTTGGCGGCCGACACCGACATCGGATGCGTCCCGTCACTCTTGCAAATTAATCTTCATAAACACAAGAAAGAAAGAGAATCCATCACACATTTTGGGTATCAGTTAGTGCGCATCGAAACTCACCTGATGAAAAATTTAACACGTCTTGCACATTTCCCGCTGCTTCTTCGCTTCCATTTGTCACAGCACGATTTTATAGCATAGAGCCTTCCTCAATGAATGTTCTAAATAACACAAAATAATTTTTCAATTCTAACGTGTTCTTGGATTAGCGCGTTCAAACAAACAAACTCTTCAGCTTTATATATTAGTATAGATTATGAAATGCTTTTTGTTATTTTAAATGTTATTCATTAAAAAACGTAGACGAGAAAAGATGGAGAGAGATATTTTTTATATAATTAAGCTTCATGAAAATCGTTCAGTAGTTTCGCACGACAAACATACATTTATTCACTTTGCTTTTGGTTATTTTATTATTATTGCGTATAACAAATAATCAAAAACATATTATTTATCATTGAAATGTGTTTTTAAATTTTACTATCACTTAAGTGGTTTAAATATCACAATATTATGTATGTATGTAAAATTACCGGACATGCAAGTCCTCGCCATTTGTGTCTTTAATCATTCGCTTCAAACGAATTCTACCCACGTCGATGATTCCTGAGCCCCACTGTCCCTGAACGGTCCACCAATAGCGGACGACGTCGTTGTAAATGGAAAATAAAAAATCAAATCTAGCGACATCGTGTCGAGCAACTGCATGTTTATAGTCTGTTTATCGCTTACCACCGCGTGCTTCGAATTAATTAAGAATAAAACAATTGTATAGGGGTCATATGATTTGCGATATGAATGGGAGGCAATTCTCTAAAAGTCTGTACTAATATTATAAAGCTAGTGGTTCGGATTGAATAATTATTTTCGTATTGGATTATTAAATTGAGCATTTATTGAAAAAGGTTTCTCGACCAAAAGGTTTCTAGATCAACCACTTTTGATGGTTTCCGTTGCACAAACGGTTCAAAACACCAAGACATGAAAAATAATCTAAAAATAATAACAGCGACACTTGACCTATGGCTTTCTCTTAAGATTTATGGCAAGAACCGTTTTTATGGTAATCATAATTAGTCGAAATCAATGCATTATTTTCTGCATGCAAATTTATCTAGCTAATTAAATTTATTAATTCAAATTGTACCTAACTCTTCCACTTGGCTCAATCTGGGAGGCTACTCGTAGAAGGATATAACGTGTACCTAACGCGGCTTTTAACTAGCTTGGGCGTCACGGCAAAAGAAACACAGAAAAAAAATTAATACATAAGAGAACTGCATAATCATGTCTTAATACAAAAGGGGGAAAACATGTGTGGGAAACGATTTAATCACTTCAACATATTATGTATATCTATATACATTTTTTTTACTTAGACATAATTGTTCACTGCGTTCTTCAATATGTTAAACATAGTTTGGTCAACATACATGCACAACGCCTACAATGACTTTTTACAGTTGTTGTTTTAAAAACACACTAACTGGCTTTTCAAGGTAAGAATTCCAAAAGTACACCGCAAACGCAATTTCGAGTTAAAGATAAAATTGAAAACCTTTACTATAACTATAAAAAAATAACGATTTGTATCTATGACGTTGTTATATTAGTTAATTATTCTATTAAGTAATTTCGATTGAGATTACAAAGTTGCGATATAATATAATGAAATATCCCACTATTACGTGAATTTTATAGAATTTTACGTTGCACTTTTATAAATAAATGGGGTAACATCACATACTTTCACACCCAATAACTCTACAATATTTCGGAGACAGGTATCCTTACTCATTTGCGCAAGCGTCGCTCACCGAGAGCTCCGACGACAGAACGCGGTCGCGCGCGCGCACAACGAACCGCTAGTCTTGTGCCTCTAGTCAACGTGTGTTCATGTGATTTTGTGATAACTCGTGAAAACGATGAACCCGAGAGAATGAAATGCAGTGTGGACCCACAACGGTGACGCGAAAGTTTCCTGTCGTGCTGGGAAAGATATTCCTGCGTTGGGTCTTCAATAAGGCCGATTTAGTGTTCTTTATTTACCGGTTAGTTCTATGTAAAATTGGGAGGAGGGGTGTGTGAAATTTTGATGAACTGGATGAAAAGCGTGTTATTTTAAGACCCAGACACCAATTCCGCGAAGGTTGCGGAAAATAGGCTAAACTGGTTTTATTGTTTATATGGACATTATTATAATTACGTCTATGTAAGTGTTTAGCAAACAGTTTATACGGAAACATTTAAAGTGTTCACTGCTCTCAAGAGGAGTAGGTAAACAAGTTCAATTTCAATGCAGGTGGCCAAGGTTCCAGTACATAAAGAAAGAATCGGTCCCTCATCACCTCTTTCCGCGTTGCTTGTACTTAAGCCTCCAAAATTATAGACAGGAACAAGAACATGTTATTAACAATAAACCTTTAAATAAAGCACTTTAACGGTACGTGGTCACGGATCACAGTCTCACCATGACCCGTGCAAAGCATCCGAAACGTCAGTCCAAAGTTAAAAATCATTTTCAAATAACCAATATATCGCGTTTTAAACCGTTAAACGGTTTCATTTAAAAGTGTACTACTCGCGTAAACTATAGACAGTATTTAAAAATTAACCTTTTTTTTCCCCAAACCTAAGCTTCAGGGCCCCGGTGCACTACACCTCTTGACCTACGCCAGTGTTTTAAAAGTAAATATTTAGGAAAAAAATATAATAACTAAGTTGATCTTGGTTGATGGTTGATTAACTGCACGCAAACGTTTTCTTTATGACAGACTAGTATGGGGTTTACTTCAGGTAGGTTGAAATACCCCAGGAATATTATAAATGCGCTGTTGCCTTATTTTAGCTTGGGACATTTGAAAATCCACAAACGGAACGGAAGTTAAGTCTAAACTTAAAAATACTCTAAAAGGCTTGCATTTAAAATCTAGGAATACTTAGCATTCTTCTACAAATCGGTACTGTGTGATAATTGAAGATCTCTTTGCGTTCAATCAATCATGATAATTTGAATTTATAATTAAAAATGATGTAAGCTTTAGACACAACAATACTTAATTAAACAGTAGGGTAATATATAAGTAATTGTATAGCGTACATAAATCATAATAATGTATAACTATGTATGTATATCGGAACAAGTAGGTTTATCGAAAGAATAAGACGTAGAAAATGAAAGAATTTTTAAGTAAATAATTATTTTTTCTTTATCTCTCTTTTCTCCCAAAAATAATTGCAAATCCATCAAATTAACAATAATATTTTGATTATTTCAGTATAGTTTGGTATGCGCTGTACACTCGATCCTCGATGAATAGCAGCGTGGACTTCTTCGAGAGCCTCATAGATGAAGATGGGCGTTTTTCGGAACTTAACTGCCAAGAACCACAACGAGTTCAACGACAACGTCCAAGTGTCCAAAGAATGCGACCTCATCCTCAAGGTAAATAGGAACCATATTTGTTATAAGTCGAAAGTCAAGGATAATAAAGATATATATGCAACCTGTGGTACTATAAAAAAACACACCCACGCATAATATCTCTAATCTATTGCAAATTGACTTCACTAAACTCTTACTAGAAACCAGTTATCTATAGAGAGCCACTCAACAAACTCGGGTCTGTGATATTAAAAATTGACAGTGACATATGACAAATACTATTGAGCGATTAAAAATCCAAAATGGCGTTATAACGCGAAAGCCGCGAGTGAACGTCATTACGTCACAAATCGATCGAAGATAGCGTCTGGAGTTGTTTACAAATTCCTTTATATTTTAAGAGTAGTGTTAAGAAAATGTCAAATCTGTGTTCTAGAATCGGTTCAAAACCTCCAAAAAGGTTGCAAGACGCTAGAGATAATTTGTCCGTCGCTCAAACCAACACTTGGATGAATGGTGAGAATCGGAATTGCAAATATTGATTTATCGCGAGGGTCATTTGAACGAGAATTTTATGACGCAGTATTTAAATAAAAACTAGTTTCCAAGTATGTGTGTTGTCTGACGGTAGATCTACGAGAATATCGAGTTTCTAGTAAAATCTGGAATTTGATTGTAACATGTAAGTAATGGGGTGGGTGTATTTTTCCAGCTGAAAACATCAACAATGGTGGAGGACTATCGTTATCTCCGCCTCACACAATATCCCAAAGAGAAACAGCGACGCAGGTGTCTCAGTGTTACAGCGTGCCATCATCGCCTTGCGGTTCAACAAGCTCGACACCTTCGCCCACCGCGCTCCCCTTGTTGCCCCCCGGCACAGCGACCCTTGACCCAAATTGGCAAGCAACAAAGGCTACCATTAGGGACAGAAACGCTGCTATGTTCAACAACCAGCTTATGGCTGATGTGACATTTATTGTCGGACCACCAGGTCGATTATTTTGTACACAATATTCATATTGAAATTTTTATACTTTATTTCCTTAACATCAAATGGTAATTAAATTTCAGGCCACACACAAGTAATTCCAGCACACAAATATGTCTTAGCTACAGGAAGTTCAGTTTTCTACGCAATGTTTTATGGTGGTCTTGCAGAATGTAAGCAGGAAATAGAAGTACCTGATGTGGAACCTTCAGCTTTTCTTACTTTACTCAAGTACGTTTTGTTGTGATGATAAAGTTATACTAAGACTGCTGACATGCTTGGTACATATATTTATTTATACATATACATTATATATTTATTTTACAGATATCTATATTGTGATGAAATTCAGCTGGAAGCCGATACTGTGCTGTCAACGCTTTATGTGGCAAAAAAATATTTTGTTCCACATGTAGCAAGAGCTTGTGTCAATTATTTAGAAACTAGTCTCACAGCTAAAAATGCCTGTTTGCTCTTAAGCCAATCTAGATTGTTTGAGGAACCAGAATTGATGCAAAGATGTTGGGAAGTTATTGATGCCCAGGTATGTGAATCCACAGAACATCTAATGACACTGGGCATAGGTCCCTCCTCCTCTTACAGTAGTCTTTTAATGGAGCTATCAGAATCTAGCCAGAATCTCTCAAGTTCTGATTGTAATAACTTGTCAAATGAAACCCTTAACAATTTTTGTGATTAACAATAATAACTTGTGCAATTTGTAAATAATACCTTTGTAATGCTTTGGTTGTGATCTAGGTATAAGTTAACAATTTGTGTTCTAGTCAAGCTGGAAATTGCCAAAATCTCATAGTATAACTGCAATACATTTTGTATAGATGTATAATTTGCAAGTTTCTGCAGAGCATGTTCTCTATAGATGTATAAATGTTGTAACTAATAATAAGGAGTTATAATAGATGTTGTGGAAATAAAACATTAAAACAACATGTATTGCAGTTTTAATTGCAGACACCTTAAAGCAAACATTATTTTTAGGCTGAAATGGCGTTGACCTCAGAAGGATTTATTGACATTGATGTGTCAACCCTGGAATCAGTATTAGCAAGAGAGACATTAAATTGTAAAGAAATTAACCTATTTGAGGCTGCCTTGGCTTGGGCACAGGCTGAATGTGTTCGACGCGAAATAGAACCCACTCCTACAAACAAGAGGGCGATGCTAGGCAGCGCAATATATCTCATTAGATTTCCTGTCATGACTCTAGAAGAATTTGCCAATAGTGCTGCACAACTCGGAATACTCACCCCTCAAGAAACTATTGATATTTTCTTACACTTCACTGCAGCTACTAAACCCCAATTATCATACCCAAGTAAAGCCAGAGCTGGGCTCAAAGCTCAGGTAATAATTTTGCTACTGAAGTTAAACATTTTAAAATACCTAAACAAAACTAACTAAATATTGTCTATTTCAGATCTGTCATAGATTCCAATCATGTGCATACAGAAGCAATCAATGGAGATACAGAGGTAGATGTGACTCAATACAATTTTGTGTGGACAAAAGAATATTTGTTGTTGGTTTTGGCTTGTACGGTTCATCCAATGGTGCAGCAGACTACAATGTGAAGATTGAATTAAAGAGATTGGGACGCATTCTAGCTGAAAACAACACTAAATTCTTTTCTGATGGATCTAGCAGCACATTCCATGTGTATTTTGAAAACCCAATTCAAATTGAACCTGAATGTCTATATACGGCTTCAGCTATCCTTGATGGAAGCGAACTAAGTTACTTTGGACAAGAAGGATTAAGTGAAGTCTATATGGGAACAGTCACATTCCAATTTCATTGTTCTTCTGAGAGTACAAATGGAACGGGAGTCCAAGGAGGACAAATTCCAGAACTGATTTACTATGGACCAACAGTTAATGCATCCCTGGTTAACGCTAGTACAAATGATGACTGACAATCGAGAAGAAAAAGACCACTAAACTACTATTCCGTTTAGTATAAACAACTGGTAAAATTTTAACTGCATAAAGTCTAAATTTGAATACTTCTATAGAAATCTCTTAACCATTCCCGACTGTTAAATTATTTTGTTAAATATAAATTTGTGTATATTATGTACTGTTATTATTATTATTAATTAGATATAGGTATGATAAGAATGTGATATGGGTGTTGTATAAAGGCTCTCTAGATGTTGAAAAATTTTATGTTGATACAATTTACTTGAATTTATTTTAGTTTTTGTATTACAATTTATTCGCAATATAAAAATATGATAATAGCTTTAATGGTTGTTTTCTTCATACAAAACCAGTTTGATTAATTAGCATAACATGTATTTTTTTTCAACTTAGTACAAGTTAAACCCAGAGACCTCTGCAAAGGGGGAATGGAAAAGTAAGTGAAGTGGTTAGCAAAATATGGACTGATGACTTGGCCTTCTATTGGTGTCCCCAATAGAAAATAGTAATAACACAAGTTTTCTCATTCTCTATATCTTATCTTTTTTCAATTACTCAATTGAAATTCATTATATTTAAAACATATAATTAAAGTTCCTTTAAAAGTCTTAGCACCAAGTTACACAGAAGCCATTATCTGTTTGCACAAGTAGTATGCATTTAAATAAAACACTTAACAGTTTAACACGAAATATTAACTCAATTTTCATTGATTTTAACTACGACCGGAATTTCAGGATGTTTTAGGCATATATTTCACATTTAAAAATGTTAAAAGTTTTATTTAAAAGAGCATGTTTAAAAAAAATAACTTACCAGTGGGTGGAATGTTGATGCAAAGTGCTTTGGAGAGCTTGAAATAAGTACGGCCTAGTTGATAACAGCATATCTGCAGTGCATCACTTATGTCAATCAATAGATCTGATAATGATAATTAAGGAAGTAATATAAATCAAATAAAGCTTTGTTATTGATGAATTATAGAGTTGTTATAGAAATATAGCAAAAACTTTTACACTAAGATAATGTAATGTAAGGATATAATTTTTTTCAAATTTTAGTGATGTGAAAGAGTAACAAACTTGCATCTATGTTCATAGCTTTTAAATTTAATAACTATGCAAAATTTTTTAAAGGATACGGGCTGTGCCTTCGGTCCTGCACATCATATAAACGCACGCAGCCTGTGTGTGAGCTGCAGGACGTCCTATAGTAAGGTGTCGCATTAAAGCCAGTTTAAAGAAATTACAGGCAATGTCTATGCACTGTTGATTGAGACGCAGTTGTTGGCATAGAGCTGTGATGCCATCCTTTGCTTTGCGTAAAGTAACATCTCTAGATTCCTGACCAACCCCAGAGTTAAAGGCTGCAACATTTTAATGTAATACTTACACAGGAGACCAAATGGAATTTATGGATGAATCAACGAAGCAAATTACAGGATCAAATATGGAGTGATGTTATTTTTTGGTCCTACAACCTAAAGACTAGAGAAGTAGGCTTTATCTAAATAATAAAAACAGATGGTCTACAATTAGTTCTCAGGTATGTGACTAAGGTTTTTATGTTATATGTTTGTTAAGTCAAAAATATATAATATACTTAGTTAATAAAAGGACAAACCCCTGCCAAATCCAGATGCTCCTCCTTTGGATTCAGCGGACACAAACTGTCCAATGACTGAAGCTCCACCATGAGTAGTTTCTTGAAATTCAATGTCTGCTACAATGATGCTGTCTTCCAGCACAGATCCACAATTTGTACAAACAGCATCACCTCTAGCAGGATCTACTTCTATTTCCGATGATCCACAATGCTTACACTTTTTTCCAGACGACATTTTGGGAAAGAAAAATAACTAGAAGACGAGCTGTTAGAAATTGAATTCTTCAATTCTTCAATCAATTCAAAAGAATCTGTTGATTTCAGATTTATCGTTTCATTGTTGACATATTGTATTATTTAGCGCATACAATGTCTTAAGTAAGATAATAAAGTAAAGGCTGTTAGGCCTAAAATTTTAAATTTCAAAAGTTAAAAACAATAACATGCTTTCATCTTTCAAATAAGCTTAGCCCACTATTGCTACTATAAAATGTATGACATTAACTACAGATTCATAATAGACTCATGTAAACCACAGATACCGGCAGTCACAGATATATTAACTAGTAGGGTAAATTCTAAATTACTTCGATAATGTGACATTTATATTCTATCTACATTTATTGAAAAGAATTATGATATTTTATATCGAAAAATGTTCTTATCACTTTTTTGTGGTTATTTCGTCATTCTCCATAATAGTATAATGATAATTAGAAGTTTGGATTAGGTACAAAATACTTTTGTTACCAACTTTATGATTCTTGCTATCCTTACCTTATTCGTTGAACAAGATGACGTTATCTATAGGATCAAATTTGATTGGTTGAATATCACGTGATTCTATTTTAAGAGCATGAGGTCATCCTTTTAAAATTCTTCTAACTAAAGTATAAAGGGAACTATAATGTATGTTGATGTATAGAAAGTTTGGTCGGTTAGGATGTTTTAGAATAGGAGTAGGAAGATTTCACAGGAGAAGGGCATCCCCAAAGAGAGGGCGACGTCATCGCAAAACTGCATGATGAGTCATCATTGTTTTCTTGGTTGACGCTCGCGACTTCGTTTATTTTGTTTTATTAGGTTTTAGATAGGAAATATAATTGTCAATTGAAGGTTGAAGCATATTTTGAAGTTTGAACTGTCAGATCGTCGGCGATAATTTGTTATTACGCAGTGATAATAAATTACGTAAAGTGTGTTTGTGTTTTAACTTAGAAATTCCGTGGATCGCGAAATAGAACGTTATGACGATGAAGTTGGAAATGAGCGATAGTCATTCAAACCACTCAGACTTTTCTAGTGATAGCCAGTCCTCACAAGGATCTTCTACAAATGATTTTGTATCAGCACGGTCCTCGCGATCTCTTCTTACGGTAAGTAAAGAGTGAATCTATAATCATAATAATAATATAGTTTATCATATTTCAATGTATATAAATAATCAATATTTGGATGTTTAAATGTATTAAAAACATGAGTTTTAAGCCATTAAACAAAACTATGTCTTCATGATCCTCTGTAGAAAACATTGATTGCATTGCTGTGACATGATAACAGCAATTTAAAGGAAAACATTTTCAAGAATAAAATAAATGCATAAATATCAATAAGAGCTTATCTTTAAGGAAAACCTTGTACTCCAATATTAGTCCAATCAAATTACAACTTAAATGTTTCATAGTACTTTGCTTCCTAACACTTGTGTACTAAAGGAACTGTTTGTATTAGATAAACAGTTTTTTTTCCTATAATAGATATAATTCACTTACTGTGAAACATTGTTATATCATTAATTCCTGCAATACCATATCTTAAGTGCTGATAATAATTGAATCAATATTTTAATAGAAATAAGGCAGATTTTTTGTGGAACATGTGTTGTTACCTGTTCCTTATATCTTTATTTATAAGCTTTTTCTGTTTCTTCTGTCTACCAATTTACTATATTGGGAAAATCATTGAATAATGTCTGTTTTTTACTTCATAGTAGAACATGCTGTTTAGAAGCTGAAAAAAAAGGCAAAGTAAACTAACTTTTCTGAACAATTTATCTGTAAACAAAATATATCCATGAGTACTGATTACCGAAACAGTTCAGATTATTTTACATTTACTTATAAGTTACTACAACATTTTTTTCAATACATATATATATTCTAGGCAGATGTTTCAAAATTACAGTTATGTAATTTTTTTATTAATGTTTATAGAAAATGTAAGTTCTGAAGTCTATGCTTGACCAGGCCAAAGCCTGATGACTTATAGCGCCTCATAGATTTTGTTGTTTTAAAGATTTCTAAAATAGATATTAGGCACAAACCTCCATTCCGGTGTTTGTGAGCTTCATTCATTGTGTTAAACTTGGCTGTTGTTCTTGATGCATTTATGAACTATTCTAATAAGAGATTAAAAAAACAGCATAACTTTTCTTATTGGTATAATTTGCATTGTCATAAATCATAATGCAGTAAACACATACCATAGTAAATTTAATGAAACTGAAATAAACAAGAATCAAAAAATGTCTTTTAATCTTAAAAAGTTGCCTTGTATGACAATGGTACCTAAAGCATTTTTATCTCACTAACAAGTAAAAATAATAATAAATAATATAATATATATGTCTACATATATTATCTGTGGACATGCAGAGTATTATAATAATGTTAGCATTTAAATAACATTGTTATGTTTAAGGAAACAGGTGTTCTGTATATATCTGATAATAATATGACTTTGGTATGAGTATTATTGTATTAATTTTCCTAGTTTACAAACAATAACAAGGTTTTGATTTATATAAAGCTTGCTCATACTAGTGAGACCCAAATACAGCTGTTCCTATAGATTTTTTATTCCTCCACTATTCAATAGTTTAAGAGAAGATTGAGGCTAGAGAACTTTTGTTCTTTGGTAAAAATTAAGTATACAGATAATATGAATATTCAATAAGCTGACAGTACATTCAAGTCCTCATGATGGTTTTCCATCTTCCAGATAGTAAATTTTTGTAAAGGAAATGGGAAATTAAAAAAACTGCATGGGCCGACCATTAAAATATATATATATAACGACCCGTTCATTGATTTAAAATTAAAATAATACTCTTTAGTCTTTATTAATTTATTATAAGAAACAGAAGAGGTATTTCAGTATTATGTTCCAATAAGTCCTGTTTGTTATTCTTAACAAAACAATTAAATTTATGTTATTTAAATAAAAGGAAAATATACAAGCGAATCTAGGCATCGACCGAAGTCTGACCTCATTAATTCACGGAAAACTCGCGAAGCGACGTGCTCCTGCGCATAAAACGCGCCGTTTATTTAATTAAAGTGCGTCGTTGACTTCTATCGCTCTTAAAACCGGAAAATTAAAATATCTATTACGATATGTTTATCTCATATACAATGAGTATAGTTCCTTCTGTTACATATATATTTAGTATTTATTTAATATAAAATATGTAAGAAATATTCAGTTAAGAGGTAGACGGATAGAGATATATAGAAATGGCAGCGTTTTATACATTACTTTATAAGGTAATTAAATTTAAAAATAATAGTATATGTTCATAAAAGTTAAACTATAAAACATGTTATTAATGTTGTAACGCAGTGTTGGTTATACACAAAGCATGTTTTATTGGCCGTTTTAATTCATATAATATAGACAACAGTATTTTTCAAGGTTACAAGCTATCGAATGATCAACTGAGAGATACTGAGCTGTTTTTGGAATACGGCCAAGTATGAAAATATTGTGTTCGCCGATCACAACAACTTCATCCTAATATTTTGCCTTTTCTTTTTCATTAAGAAGCATTTTATTTTTGTGAAAACTCTTGGAGGTAAAGGTACTCTGTTCCTAAATATCCTCATAATAAAGAAAATGTTTTTTTATTCCTGCCACTTATATAAAATTATGCAAAGCTGATATGTGAGATTATATTATTATCCCGATAGCACATTATCATGGCACCATAATCAGATAAGTTCCAATTTACTCCACTTTCATGTTCAGAGCCATAATATGGGGTATATTATGGCTTCAGAGAACTATTCGTTTTCCTCACCAGGATCAATTCTTGTGATTAATTAATTTTACCTATGGTTAACCCCCGCTAAAGCCACTTGTTTACGCCTATTTCAAGCGATAGTGTTATCGTTTCTTTGAAATGTTATTTGGATCAGCTATGAGTTTCCGCCCCAAAATCATTCTAGAACTCGGAACACGAACTCCAGTTGTCGCGAGCTGTCAACATTGTTGTCATGGTAACCGTTAGCTGGAATTGTATTGGCGTCTATGATCAAACTGTTTCACGGAACGAGGGTAGATCGCGTGATCGTACAGCCGGCCTTGAACTTGTCTTTGTTTACGTGTTTGTTTGTATTCGCGACGTGACATAATCCCGTGGATATTACATTTTCTATATCTTGTACACTACTGTGTACATCTATGGGAAGGGCTAAAAGTGTATAAAATGGTAGTCTGTCTTACAGCAAATTGTTTAGAACGAGTAAGGTCAAAAAAGCTGACTGTCAATCCGTTTCAATGATATGGCGCGGTTTATATAATATCATCTTATAGATGGACCCTAAAACTAAAAAAAGATCAATAATAAATCATTTATTAAAAAATCTTTGAAGATCACTTGCAAGGACGACGGGCCGTAGAGGACGTTAAGGGCTATAACTTCTATAGCTAAGGAGTTTCACTTCAAAAACAAATTTTGATTTCCAAAATAATAAAAAAAAACACGGGCACAGCTGTACGTGTTTACGTTGATTTATTAATAATTACGTTTCAAGAGGAACCCTAAGACCTAATATCAAAATAATAAAAACAAAATTTCAGTCACACTCCGTTATCAGCCGACGTCACTTCCAACGAATGGCGCTCACGTAATATCTATTAATACACCGTTAATCTCGCTATCAACGTGTCGTTTAACGAATCTTATCAATATCCTCTACTTGGAAAGCGCAGTCATTTTTCTTTTATTGCTAGAATCGTTACTTGACATGAAATAAATGTCAGACCGCTTGGCACAGACGTTAACTAATTCTTATAAGAGTTTAAAATACGTGCGATTCTTAAGAATTATATTTTAATAGTATCAATGTGCAAGTTTACATCGCTGCGATGTTGAATTTATTTAGATCAGTGAGTATTTTTCATGATTTTATATTACCTGTACGGTACGATAAATGTCTATTGGCTATCATTGAGTTTTTGGTGATAGCATGTTGAATTGTGATATAATATGTCTGTATATATATTTTAAGCCGTGGTATAAAATAAAACAGATTGAGCACGTACCCATACGGATAATTATTTAATGTGTATATATTTTCAATCGTTTTATTAATAATACAGAAGCTTTTCCCTGTTATGTTGACTTAACTGTAGTAAAGGTATCTTGGTATGCTTTACAACTTTAGTGCTTGTACCAAATAATGTTGTTGCTTGATTTTAATTGTACTTTAAAGAATTATCAATTGAGTTAGCTAATGATTAAATATTGGATTGGAAAAGAATAGTTCACAGGGATTCACCTAGAACCCCTTTTTAATGATCAAAGATTTGAAAGTAATATACCGCAGCCACATAACATCTAAACACTGCTGTCGACATATATTGGCTTTGAGATTCAGAAATCGACTGATTGAAATCGAAACGAAGTCTATAGTTTACGCGAGTAGTACCTACACATTTAAATAAAACACTTTAACGGTTTAAAACGCGATATATTAGTTAAACTTATTTGGAAATGATTTTTAACTTCGGTCTATAATTTTCAAGTAAGTTTAACTAATATATCGCGTTTTAAACCGTTAAAGTGTTTTATTTAAATCGAAACGAAGGCTTACATTATACGCCTTTTTTTCAAAATTCCATTGTCGGGCCTGCTAGGAATTAAACGCACGACCCGTCGACCAAAGACTCGATCGACGAATTCTTGATCTTCTATGAACTGTACTACTTTTAGTTATGATAGTTTTAATAACATAATACGTCAGCGTCCATATCGCATATTATAGGCAAATGTTTATAAATATAGCGAACGCAGTGTTAGCTGTACGACCCACATTACCATATCGAGTTAATTGTGTCAAATGTTATATTGTCTAGAGTCTATAGGTGCTCATTGTTATGGATATTTTACTGTCTAAATATCGATAAGCGTTTCCATTCTTTGAATCGGTTTTGTTCGCCGAATTGCCGTTTTCCGCAGCCTATGGCGCTTGCCAAATTCTGGCGTACGCAGTTAAAGAAACAAATAGTAAATCTTCGGGCTTTCTCACTGGAAAAGTATCCTCTTAATCATGGTTGTAAAGCAAATATTTTGGCGCAGAAATTGAATGTCTGAAATACTCGTCGCTTGCTACCTTTTCGCTTCGGAGCGCGAAATGCGCGTGCGCGGTTCGGTTGCCTTGGTCATACAAAACGAGCTAGCACCGCGATTGCTGACTCAGTCTGATATAAAACATTCTAGCTACGCGAACGTGTACTCGGCCACATTTGTTATTCGATGAATCATCGTCTTATCAGCTAGTGTATTTACATCGATTCTGAATACATTTTTCATCGATTAAGGAGTTAATCTTTCGGATTGGTTGTGGAGGTTGTTTGTGTAAACTGTCTTCATGTCTCAGCTGGTGCCGTACCACCTTCTCAGCGGCGAGCAGGACGACAGTCTTATGTTCGCTACCATGTTTGACTACCAGAACGAGGAATATTCAAAGCCAACGGTGAGTTTTGTAGTTTGAAATTGATTTTCGTAATATTACTAACTATCACCAGTGTTTTTCGCGACCTTTAACCGTAATTCAGTTTTTTAAAGATATTTTTGACAGTAACTAATTGGAATATAAATGCATAGAGTTCCGTCTTGGTATATTTGTAATCTTTAATGTCTTCCTGAATTAATAGATGGCGCTGCATATCACTGAAAGTGAACTGATATCACGGTTCTTGTGATAAAACTATCGCCGTTAAAGCCTTTCGTTAATTCTGGCGTTTCAAGGTTAGCGAATGGAAAGTTGCAATTCCGGTATCTAATAATCTAGATAAAGTGTGGTACTCAGAGATAGGATATCTGAAATATAGAATCAGAATGGCCATTGAACTGCGGTAATTGCGTCTGATACCTCGGAACTGGGTTGTATTAAACATGATGCAATACAAGACTCAATTGAATTTCCCAAAATTACGGCTTCAGAATTTAATTGATAGCTAGTCAAAACTTGTGGTTTCATTCACTGGAACTTGTCAAATCGTACGAGGCAATGACGTCATAATCTGACGCAATAGGGCCTCCTCACCCCGCGTCTTGGGGAGTTCCTCGAACTTTTGGCAGCTGTTCCACTTACAGGGATTCTTTTTTATAGCGGTGACGATATCTAAATAGTACTGATGAAGTAGGAAGTAGCTATGGAGGTGATGGAATCCTGATACATGTATTTTATTTAACGTTTAATAGTTGCGTAGGCATATTTAGATATGCTTACGCAACTATTTATATAATAAAACACCCTGACGGTTTAAAACGCGAACGCGATCAATCATTTTTAACTACGACCCAACTAAGTTTTAAATATTTTTATTTAGTGTGTACCACTCACGTAAATTATAGACAATACTGAAAAGTCATTAAACTCAAATTGAACAAACTAATAATGAATATTTATATTTAATTAATTCGTTTGTACTGTAAAATAATAACATTTGTGCGTCTCGCTACATTTATTTATTAAAGTCCAGTCCAAGTGTTTATTTCATTAAGTTTATTTACTTATTAAACCTTATTTTTAATATTAGTGTAAATTAATAGTAAATTAAATTTTAGTACCTAGAATGAAGAAATAAAAAGCATTACGCGCATCGAATTAACGTCACTAACCACAAATATAGATAAATTGTTTTATTCTTGCACCATTAAGTGTCTCAATGAAAAACCTTGGGTATTCCCAAACACTGCTTTAGTAATTGTATCAAATACGTCAATGCCTCAAATCTCGATTTATTTATTAATTCAAAACCAATATAACCACAAGTATCAAACGGCGTCATTTGTTCAGAAATTAATTAATTGCGGACCCATGCGTCTTGCCTGTAGCATGAAGTTAATATTACTCCATTTTAGACTATTTCTTCATTTATGGCAGAAATATTTACGCCCGCTATCAAACTATTAGATAGTAAAGCTTTAGTCAGAGAAGTGGTGCACGCTGTTCACTTCAGATAAACAAAGCCGCGGCTCTCAATAATATAGGAAGCGTTCTAGAAACAACTGATCTTTTAGGATCTGATAAACAAGTCTATCAGTTGCGCAAGAGCTGAACCGGACTCGCGGCGCGGTAGCGATGTTAACCTTTTCGAGGCGAAAACTTCAAGTCCGGCTGTCTTGACCCACTTTGGGCTTGTGAAATTTCTCCTGCGCCGTATTACAACTTCCAAGAACGCACGTCCGCCTGGGAATTCCCACATGCTCACTACGATTGCATTTACCTCCTTCAATAAAAATCCGGATACTAATGTTTTGAATTAATTCCCAAGTCTATTTATAAATTCAATTTATCTATTTCTAAATATTTCTCCGTTTTGCACTAAATTTGTCAACATTTTATGTTTTTATACAATCGCGCTAAAGATTTTCCGTCTAGTATTTATTTCTTATCTACTTTATTCTGAAATAGAAGAAGTAGAGCTACTCTAAAAAATCAATAAAGTGCCTTCTGAACTCCGAATAATGTTGTAATACATTATAAATGACGAAAAGTATCAGTATTCACAAATTAATGTAATGCCAGTTGCATTTATGTAATGGTTAGTTCTAAGCAGATGTGTTCAGTTAGCCGACACCTATTAAATGGTCCTGTTGCGACCAATAAAGGCCGGATGTGAACAATTTATTCTAATTGTAGCGGACTAAGATCAACTGCTATTACTTAAATATTCTATGTTGGCAGAAGAACTTAGAGAGTTTTCTATCTGCATTGTTACATTATCGTTTTTAATTATAGGACATGGAGGTTTTAAAATACCTATAACATTGTTAAATAATACCCTTATAACATTGATTTTCTGAAGCGTTAAGAGTTTCTGTGGATACCTTAGATAAGGTGTTAATTATACTAAGACTTAGGCCATCTTTGTCGTGGAAAGATTCTTTACATTCTGTGCAATATACATTACAGTTGATTTTAATTATGTAGTAATGACAATAAATTAAAAAGTCTTTATCGATACCTAATCTTTTGTTATATTCTTTTGTTTTCACACACGCGTGTGTTGCAATGACGGTAAGTATAAACCTTGAATGTATCTTGTCTTTTTCACGGTCTTTATTCGATTAGATAACATACTATTAAATTCGTTTGTGTCACGCTTCTGAGAAATATGAGTCAGGCAAGATGTCGCGAAATCGGAAGTAGTCAGTGCGCACATGTAGTTTACATATGCGACAAAGATGATATTATATGACGATTTTTATATAATACCTATTTACAGCCTATGTAGTCAATGTCTACTTTTCATACAAATACTTTGAGGGCCTCGTTAACTATAGCAATGAGTCTAATAAAAAGGTTCAGACCCACCAGGTCCAACATTTCCTAATCAATTAATAATTAGTCTGAAGTATGTTAGCTTTTAGTTAGTCTTGAAATCTGGATATTAAATGATTGGTAGATTTGTTTAAGTTCGTCAGGGTCATGAAAAACCTCACAGATGAAAAAACCCGTCAAGTTTAATCGCGTTAAAAAAATCCAAATAGGAAGGACAGCGTATCTTGTCAAGATGTTATATGGTTGGGGTACATCGCCTTCTATAAAGTGCTTTACGGACAAAATACAGGAATTATGGATACATTACAATAAGCAAAAAAGTTAACTATTAAAGAAATTATGCTTTTTCTAATACGTCAGGCTCAGTTTAAATAACAAGAAGATGGTAATTTTTCTCTTATTACAAAAATCACAAGTCTTCCGTGACCACGGCTGCTGCAAAGCATCCGAAACGTCGGGCCGAAGTTAAAAATCATTTTCAAATAAGTTTAACTAATATATCCGTTTTAAACCGTTAAAGTGTTTTATTTAAATGTGTACTACCGCGTAACTAAGACAGTATTTAAAAATCACTAGTCATTTTTGCTATCAGGATCAAAACTGAGCCAGTATCGAAGTTGGTAGCCACCAAAGTAGACACTTCGGTTGCACAAGACGAAACAATAATGCTCGAAGTGACGTCTTTATAGCTGCCGTTGAAGATAACTGACCAATGTTATCCGTTTCTGTCCATTACTTAAAGTGTTGTCTATTGTGTCGGGACATTCCGCCTTCCTTTAGCTGTTACAAACATTCCTTTCAACCTCTAACACAACAATAAAGATAATTTGAAACATTTCAAAGACCTTTTGTTCCTAGGTGAGTGCTACTTAAAAGGTACATTCCTAACAGTAATTATTCGAGTAGGAAATTCTCTATATGATATTATTTATGGCTCAGTTATGTCCAGTAGGCTTTTTGTTAATGTTAATATATAAACTAGCAGTGGCCGCGGCTTCGTCTGCGTAGAATAGTTATTTTCGGCAACAAAATTTTATTTTTGTAAGCTCACTAATCGCTTGTAGTTATTCTTAAAAGATAGACATACGCGTCGCGGTCTTTTTTAGATCGTTTAAAGAAGAATCATTCTTTCAGCGCACGCAATGGAAACCCACGAAGATTGCAAATTTTCCCCGTTTATAACACATTTCCCACCGTTTCATTCCCATTGGTCGTAGCATAATGTTTTATTCCCTTAAAGCCTTCCTTAATAAATGCTCTGATTAACACAAAAGTAGTTTTTCAATTCGAACCAGTGGTCTCTGAGATTGGCGCGTTCAAACAAGAAAAACAATTTCTTCAGCTTTATAATATTTACCTTAATTATACAATAAAAAATAATTTCCAAATAAAATTGTCAGACATAAAACACGTTTTTCCTCAAGGCTTTGTCTGCGCGATAGTATCTGTAGCGTGTCATTTTGTTGCGCCTGCGAACTATTTGTCAGTTTCACACCACCCACGTTGTTGTCTATCACTTTTCGAAGTGTGTTGTTTATTTCGTTATACACGTGGTTTACTGGTCAGTGTGTTTTATTAAATGACCTCTTAAAAATTTTAGACAGAAAAAACTATTATATAAATAAAATGCTTTAAATTATATTTTAATTATTTCGTCTAATCTAGTAACTCATGTCACCCTTGTTCGCAAAATTTACTTTCCAGTAAAAAACTGAATTCTGATGATCTGCAAATTTTTTCCAATCTTTTCTTATGTCGGCACTTTAAAGGTACTATTGTCATCTATTTAGAACGGTAAGGCGTCGGCTACACACAAATATTTACAACTGTCGTCCCACTTAACGGTATTGTTAAGTTATGTTAACAATTACAACTGAATGCAAAGGTAATATTCACCCCGTGCGACCGGGTGGCGAATGACTCATCGCTTCGGACCGCCTGGCACTTGACTGGCATTCCACTTTTTTGGTCCACTTTTTGCCTTTATTGCCTATTATGTATTTATTTGATCTACATTTTAATACGTAGCTGGACCGCGGACTGTTTTTGCGCAAACAAATTCCGTTGAATACTTAAGTTTGCATCAGGTGTTCTCCTGGGTCTGGAGAGTACAATTTTATTTGACACGATTCGCTTATCGTGTGGGTATTTTCGAAATTCTGTTTTGATGTTACGAGCACTATTAAGAAGTAATTGTTTGTTTGTGATATAGATAGTTTTAAGTCTATATTAGTGTTAAATTAAAGTGTAAAGTATTTTATTCTGGCAAGACCAATTGCGCACTTAGTAAATCATAATATATAATGTAGGTGTAGATTTTATGTCCCGCATAAATATGGTTATTAAATACTCGTCTAACAAAGAACTACCAATTCCCACCGTACTTATTTATTTCTTTGTTGTGCGAAGTAATAACAATTACGTCACAATTATAAGCTCGAAGCCGATATTTACAACAGCTGCTGAGTCCTTGTTCCGATTATGGTCATGAGTCGTGCTTGCAGCGCCGTAGATTACTGACATTTTCCACGTTTCCGCCTTGACTCGCTCAAAGGATGTCATACTGGCATCGGGTGCACGTGCGTTTGATTATTGTTATAAAATCTTATGCCCCACATTCATATGCCCTATTTACATAGAATTGTCCACCTCATATGGTAGACAATGGCCGCATTCATGTTTCATTTAATAAGCAATGTTAAAGAATACCATTCCACATTTTTATTGTACCAGTCCTAAATTTACTACTAGTTATTCTAGTCTTATAGGTCTTAGCCATTCCTTTTATTCAAAAGAATGTTTGTTGTGCACAACGACAACCATATCGAAGATGTCCCTACGTTTAGATTAAAAATTTTGTATCCTTAACAAGTGATAAACGCTTTATCAGAACTGAACCGGATTTAACAAATGTGGCATGATTTTTATACACTAAATCAGATAGTGTCATCATAAGTGGAATGTCGTGATAGATTATGACGGATGACACAAAGCCTCCGTACCCGGTACCTCGAATAACTACCTTCATCCCCGGTTTATAGGAATACGTATTGAATAAATTTCACTCCCACCCACAGAATCGTGATCGACGGCACAATAAGCACGCTTCCAATACGGACGCCATTATTTAATGAACCCTCGTCAGATGAAAAGGTCAAATTATTTGAAGAGATTAATCTCGTAATTTATGTGGGCTAATGCGCCTCACCAGATTTCTGACAGGCTCGCACCGTGTTATTTCAAAAGGACATTAATTTTTTTACGATCTCATCAAACATTTCTTTCATAGCATTTCATATTTAAATTATATGACGCGTAATGGTGTCGTTTGTGGTATGCTACATACAATGTTTGGATACAAGACTCTTTTTATTTGTGTGGGCACTGTTCCTTGAAGGATCTCGCACAAGTCTGTCAGTTTACGGAGAGTAATGCACTCGTAAAGCTTTATGACTGCATTATAAACGTCGAATTTGTTTAAATCATTTTAGTCTGAAATCTTAAACCAAAGTCAAAAACTCACAGTCACGAAATAGCGAGTTGTATATTATGTTGGAAGTTATAAGTAACAAATTCAAGGCCAAAACATTGATTTTTATAATTGTAAGTTCAATGGCCAGAAATGTCAAAGTTATATTTTGTTTTGCCTCGTATTTTTAAACATAAAAATTAAAGTAGAGCCATAGAAGGTGAAAAGAAACAGAACTTGTTAAATTGTTAAATGCAACCGTTTTACCACTTTGGCTGACGATCTAATTCGCGATACCTTCATTGTGCTCAATTTATCGCTTTGTTGCTCCCACGCACTTTGTTACTTTTTCGATTTTGTTTTATTGTATCCCAACTTTTTTTGTACCAATATACACATATATTATAAAATCTATATATATAATACTTAAAAAAACTTATATATTTATTAAAATTAATATCCGTATTTGGCAATGAGTATTATAATCACTAATGCATTTATGCAACAAATAAGGCGGTGTTTTTTTACACGTTCGTGTTATCGACTGAAGTCTGAACACAATTTTCCTCAATGTGTCTCTGTCGGTCCCAATATTGCTACCCTATGCTCACAATATTGTATTTAATTGTTTCGCTATTGTACATTCGTTATGACGGTAATTGTTATTCACGTACTATCTGAGTATTGATAAGCCATGCTTACGGTAATTGGTTTTGTCCTTTTATCAGCAGCCGTAAACAAGACATCATGAGTACCAATTCACGTACGAGATCAATCCCTAATATCGATACCTACTGTGCATTGCATAATTAGCAATTAATTTGTTAATTAGTATAATTTATAAGTATTCTTATGTAGTGTACGAATCTCAGTTCACGTTGAATCGCCGTTAGTGAAACCCAATTAGGAGGAGCCCAAAAAGGTCTCGTTTGTTGCACCTCATTGTTCTCGCCGGTAACTGGGCTGCCGGCGGAGTTTCGCAAGTACGTTTCCCTGCCTTTTTATGGAGTCGAAAGTTGCCGATACCGCTGCACCTCATGGTGCGATGGTGGTTGTGAAATTGTGCGTAGGTGTGGTGCATTCGCGGGGCCCGGTGGCCGGCAGCCGGGGCTGGCGGGTGCTGGGGGCGGCCAGTGGTGTTTACGATGCACCGGCGCCGAGTGGGGCGTAGGCGTCGCCGGGGGGCGTCGCGCCAGGCTTATCAGACGACGGCGGGGCAGCCGCGCGAGCCTCACTCCACGTTCCACCGCTGACCGCGCGTCTCGTGTGTTGCACGCTCACTGACACCGGTTTAGATAACAAAAACCTTTGTCCAGTTCAGCGCGATATTTACATTCGGTAACGCGTAGTGCCAGGGGGTTTTCCCTCCCGCTCCACACAGTTGTCGTGCGCATGTTATTGTTGCGCGCACGCGTTCGACTCTGTTCTTTCAAGTTACGACAAGTTTGATTTTTTTACGACGTGCAAAGTTGTGCAGTGAAGTGACCTTAGTTATTGGATTGCTTTATCTCCTGCGAATATTTGGTGAGTTGGTTATCCTCATTACGTGAAAATGTAAATTCTTATGACATTGTTACTGACGGCCTGGTAAATCTACGTTTTCCTTATGCGCGTTGGAGCGCGTTACAACGACCACGGAGTGTTTACAATTATCGGAGCAGTGCTCGCGAGAGGATCGATATTGGCGAATTGGCTGTCTGTTGCGTTTGCGCATGTGACGGTGCGTTCGCGCGCCCCGTGTCATCGTTCGCGGTCAGTTGAACGAACCCTCAGACCGACGTCAACCTTGCCATAATCGAGATTATTTGCATCATCAATGTACCTACTGTCTGCTCGCGAACGACATCTAGTTATGTCATTAATCTAGCGTACTCATATCACAGGTCTGTGATGAATTGATGACCCTCTTGCATCATATTTTCTTCATTTACAACAGCCTCGCCGATATTCTCTAAACTTCTCGAAATCCGTAGATTATACTCGGCCTAAGCGAAGGCTATCAATTACGTTTATTTATATATTTAAGAAACGTTTAACGAGTGCGGTTATTTGAAATATCTGGGATATTTCCAAAGATAATCAATTGATAAGATAAACAGTTAGCGTACCTACACTTAACTTTCAATAATTATTTCGTTATAGGTATTGGATGGATATTACATTAGGATTATAAGGTAGTTGTTTTGGGAAATACGCAAACAAGTTTAATTTTAACATACCTACAAAAACTTCCCTTAATGGCAGTTTATGACTGGGTCATAAAATCTCCAAGTTTGTGGTACTGGAGAACATATTTACAGTAGGTACATCCGAAATTCCATTGCGGATATTAAAATAGACTTATAATTATCATTCAAATACTTAATATTAATAAACTATTAGTGACGTACATTTTTATCTGGTAATATGTTAAGCTATTTTCTATCATTAATAATGTACTTTTTTTGCGTTAAGTGAATTTATTGCTCAATTCGGAGAACGGTGATAACTTGATAAGCAGTTGGCTATGTGAATACCTAAGTTGTGTCGCGGTCCTTTTTGATTATTGTCGGTGACAGTAACAGTTAAAAAAATCGATGAAATTTTGATTAATTTCTATGTTGATATAATCTATATACCTATATTTAGACTAAATGGTTAGATAAAATTACTTAGCTTTAGTAATTTTACTATATAAGCATGTTATGTTTACCTATAATTGTTTATTACATTTAACTTAATATTTTATTTGTTTAAAAAACTTCGGTGTGAGTAATGTAATAAATGTTGGTGAACTTATAAATAAAAAAAAAATACTCTGTAGTTTACGCGAGTAGTAACACATTTAAATAACCACTTTAACTGTTTAAAACAAATTGATACATTTCGCGTTTCACACCGTAAAAAGTGTTTTAATTAAATATGTTTAGACTATATAAAAATATCAATTAATAAAAAAAATTGTATTTCATATATCTACATATATTTTGTTACTTTATTATTTAGTATATGAGGTTATTAAGACAAAACACATTACTAATAACTTTATGGCCGTTTAAGACCAACATTCCGAATGCAGTTTTAATACCAACATTAACTGAAGCTTGAGGTTATTCACACATAAATTGGGACTGTCAAATAAGGACCCCAATTATGTGGAACTCTCATTATTGTATGTCATCGACCGTTCGCAGCGGTGGCTCGTAAAATATATTAAAAGCAATAAAGTATGTGTATGCCCGCTAAAGAAGGCTGCGCCGTTCTTGTAGAGGAATTAGCATATGGTGTTATGCCGGGGCTACATGAACGAAGATGTCGCGAATTGATAAAAAAAGTGAAAATCGATGGCGCTCTTTTGAGGATCAGTTGTTAAAAAAATTACGTTTCTCCGCCATATGCAAGGAGAACGTATTTGTTTCACAAAAGATATACTACATACGATTATCATTGTTAAGGTTTGTAGATTGAAATCGTATTAGACAACATAACTTGATATGAATATTTAGAAAGATGCTGAAAATTTCGATAAGTTGTTCGTTTAAATAAAACACTTTAACGGTTTAAAACGCGATATAGTAATTATACTTATTTGAAAATGATTTTTAACTTCGGCCCGACGTTTCGGATGCTTTGCAGTTATTTTTTTATTTAAATGTGTACTACTCGCGTAAACTATAGACAGTATTTAAGTAGTTCGTTCTTTAAATTTTATTCCGAAAACATAAATTGACTAAAAATATTTGTTTAAGTAATCGATAATTTTTTGTTCCGTTACGTTATCTGTCACATTACACGTTAAGTTTCAAATGTGACAAATTAATTGCTATTCGCGTCGCAATTTATTATATGCACTCGGCTCAAAACGGCTTCATAAGGCACAAAGACAACGGCTCGAGACAATGGCTTTGTCTGTCCGTCGCTTTAACTGTTTCACATTATGTATTGTAATAGGGTTGCTAATTTGCAGTAGTCGTATGGACATTACGATTCTGAGGACGCGCGACAACCGATTCTTACATCCGTAAAAGGCATAAAACTATGCCCTTTAACGTAAACGTCTGCTGTCTGTAGTTTATTTAAATAGTATTTACAGACACCGAAACGCGATTAAACTTGGCGACTTTCATATGTATGTATTTCTACCACCCATTTGATATCCAGATTTCAAGTCAAAGACCAACATGTTTCAGAAACATTATAAATGTTTAAATAAAACACTTAAACGGTTTAAAACGCGATATATTAGTTAAACTTATTTGAAAATAATGTAAGGAGCCGGCCAGTTTCGCCAAATACCAACTTCGACGGAACAGATGGCGCTAGCGTTGCAATTTTTCACATCCTCCATCTTTAGTCTCCCCGTGACCACGGCTGCTGCAAAGCCTCTGAAACGTCGGGGCGAAGTTAAAAATCATTGTCAAATAAGTAAAACTAATATATCGCGTTTTAAACCTACAGTAATATATGTAGAACGTAAAATTATTGACATCATAATATGTCTGTCTCCTAATTCTAAACCTTAATTATTCTCATCGAAATCGGTTAAGCCGTTTTTGGGTTATGCATAATGTAACTAACACGACTGTGTTACAAGGTTTTCTTGATGTATATAAAAATGGCGGTATTTAATTTCGCATTCTTTTAATCCGCATTTGTCTCTGAAATTATCGTATTATAAAATGCTCTTTACTTTTATGGATTAAGTATTCGTAAGTACGAGTCATTAGCGTATGTATTAGATTTTATTAAGAGCACTTCCCGCGTAACTCGAGATTATTTAAAGGCATGTGGGCGACGCAATTAAAAAATTAAATAAAACAAGCAACAACACGTGCGTGGGTTACATCGAGTCTTTGTACTCGGTCATTATAATTATAGGCTTATTTTTAACTTTGTATCGGAGTTCTAATTGCGGTATGTTGCGAATAAATAAGGGGCCTAGTAAGTGTACAGAATATAATCTTTTAAATAAAAAACTTTAACGGTTTAAAACGCGATATATTAGTTAAACTTATTTGACAATGATTTTTAACTTCGGCCCGTCGTTTCGGATGCTTTGCAGCAGCCGTGGTCACGGGCAGACTAATGATGGAGGATGTCTCTGACGTCAAAGTAAAAAATTGCTACACTAGCGCCATCTGTTCCGTCAAAGTATTAAGTAGTGGTATTTGGCGAAACTGGCATCATTTTCAAATCATTTAAACCTTCTTCTTTTTATCACACAGGAAATAAAACCCCGTTCCTCCCTGTGGGGCATGGGACGGACTCAGTGGGGCCGCGTCGCTGATCCATTTTATGTACAGAGAAGTAGTTGATCTGACTTCTGTGCCCTGCCCGACCGAAACATCGTATTGTTTCCCCGGGATTTGAACCCAGGCTCTCTCTTGCGCTTATCGCAACGCAACCATTTAGCTAAAGTGGTTTAGATGCATAGAATGCCTTTAAACTTCCCCATGAGATAAATAGTGTAAATGCTAAAATTGTATACCAATCAATCAGTCTCCTTGTCAATACCAATCTTGCTTTTCCGTTCTCTGTCGTTATCGTCCTATTTTTAGATAACTACGCCACAAAGAACTTTGCACCAAAACACAAAGTACCCACATTATCACAGACGGTATTATCCCCTCAGCGTCGGTACAATACTTGCGACACGAGCCCTCGACAATTAATTCGTGATAAAGCACATAATTGTTATAATAAATATTTAAATGCAATTCAACATACGATATTATAGACGTCGGTAATTTTCATAACATCTAGCGTCAGTATAACATTCTTTGTTCTGCCAGCCAGCTGTTCGCGTCTTATCGGTCGCGAACAATAAAATACCGATTTAAATCAATTCTTAGAAACAGATAACCTATTACGCCCTTTACGGTTTGCATTGAATCTTAACTAAATGAGGCGTGACCACCGCTTTTTATGCTCCCCTTCACTTAAATGCTGCATTAAAAAAATCTAAAATTCAATCTCTTCAAATAAGATATATCTGATATTAAAACAAAATTGCGAAGTTAATTTGTATGTCCTCATTAGTTTTTGTTTCGAAATATAGTTGTTCTTTTTAAAAGCTTGCGGTTTGGCTGCGCCCGCGCCGCGAGGAATGCTCGCGATTTCCGGACGATATCCGGTCCTCGGATGGCGCCACATTTTGCGACTACAGATTACTGCAACATTTACATTAAGTAGCCGATATTATTGCTCTTATAAGGCGCTCACAATAAACATGTTTACATTAAAATCTAATTCACATTTTCCGTCAGTTTACTAGTTTTTCTCGTTTGACTTCCTCGTTATTCGACCTTCGTGCAACCTTGACGTTTCAACCGGCTTGATAAAAGTGAAATTATTCTATTTAACACGGCTACTAAGGGGGTTTGAGAATGTTTGTAATTAATTGCTTGGTATTTTTTATTGTTCATTAATAGTCCATCTTAACTCGCTCTAATGGCTTATAAAAGCAAAATATTTACATCTCAGTATCAAGAACGAAACCTTATACGAAAATTACCATCGTTTTCCACGAGTGAAAATTTCACCGTCGCGCGCTGATTCATAGTTCGAGTGAATCACGCGTTTTTGAATTGAGCCGACGACAAATGTAATGCGCTGGTTGTGACCCGCGCAGCTAGAGAGTGGCTGAGTCACGCGGGTTTTCCGAGAAACGCTCCGCGGTACGGTTTTCATGAAAACGAAGGTCGATTCCTGTTAACGCATTACCATATGTATATCGATTTTCTCACGGTCCGACCATACTTTCAGAATTGAGCCATGAGAATACTTTTAATAGACGGAAAGAGAATTATTTGTTAATGACGACCATTTTGTTTATAGGCTTAAAATATCAATATCGTATTTTGTTAATTTTGCATCGATTAACTAAGTGTATAGGTAAAATAAACTGACTTTAAACAATGATCCTCCTTATTTTCAGGGGCTCTGAAAGCCGGCGCATCACTGTTACTCTTAGATGGTGAAGCCGAGTGCTTTCTCCCTTTTCACAGACACAATTATTAAGCAAAATTATTTGAAATTGAAAACTGTAATATTTTTTAAATATTAAAGTACATACTGGCACTATATAGGTTAAACATCAAAAATAAATAGATTTTTTTTCGATCCGGCCGCTATGGTTGGATTATCAGTACGGAACGGTGACGATGCCTGTGGAAGTCCTGTTCAAGTCGAAAAAACTGTTTGTAATTTTTATATGTGCATATTTAAAATACATATTTTAGTAGCACGGTTAAAATTTATAGTAAGACAGACAAGCGCAGAGCTTACGCGTTCATTACAGTGCTCTCCGCAAGAATAACAGGTCAAACATTTCCCAAATACCATTCGACTGAAAGTGAGTGTCGTACGTGTCTTCATGTGCCGAAACCTTGTATCGATTTTCTGCAGTTAGTATTCCCGTTATGGCCAATACTTGCGGGATACCGCAACAAAGGTGAGGGAAGGGCCGTTGGCGCGTCGCCAAGTTTCGATTTATTATTCGCGTGGTGGCGGTCAATGTCGCGACAGTCAGTCGACACTGCAGGCGCCACACATTGCTTGCATGTGCTCCCTGGATGCATTTCAATACTGGATTAATAAGGCGATGTTTGCGCTTATCTATACATTACGTAGGGTTGCCAGAATCTGGTCTATAATGACACATTTTAGCATTCTTTTGTGCATGTTAGTATAGACTCTTTGTCATATTGCCTGCGTATACGGCGTAGACTTAAACATTTCTTTTAGTAACTAGCTGTGCCCGCGACACTGTCCAAGTAGAATAGTTATTTGATACAAACAAATTTTGTTTTTACTTATTTTATATATTAAAGCTGTTACTGTTACGACATCGTCGTTCGTGTCTCGTCGCTGCAAGATAATCGTAAGAGATAGACATATACTGGACTGGACTTATTTATAAGTAACTTGAAGAGGAATCATTCTTTCATACATGCTGGGTATCTGAACGGGTGCAAACCCCTTAAAGATAAAAATGTTTCACCTGTTGGTCGCAGTGTTATGTTTTAGAGCCTCTACCTTCCTCGATAAATGCTCTAACACAAAAAAAAATCTAATTAATGGTTCCTGCGATTAGCGCGTTCAATCAAAGTTCATCTTTATATCTATATGTATTGCTTATATATAAAGATAACTTTGATATATCTGATAAGTAAGATATGGGACATATGTCCCTACTTATCAGTAAAACATATTTCAGTATTCTAGTGACAGTAATGACAATTCTAATAAAAATATTTCTTAATTAATTTGCGTGAGAAAGCCCTTATGCCAAGATTGTTTTCAATTGCGCTTACTGCGGAGGGAAACACTAAGTTCCTTTAATACATATAACAAAAGGATATAACTCAACATAATTACATTGGAGCCCTAATGGAGCCTTGTAGGTTGTTAATGATGCCCTAGCCATGACTGAATTAAATGTTACCTTGAAAGCCGTTTTCCTTTATGTTAAGGATCGTTAAAACATGTTTATTATGAACCAAAAGAGTTGAAAGCCCTCCATTTACTTGACCTAAAGATTTTTACCATGATTTTAACTTACTGACAACATATAATCGATAACCAATTATTATTTATTTAATTCATAATCACAGTTCGCGGTTAACACTTCTCTGTGTATTCGAAAACATCGCCATTAAAAATATCAAAAAGAAGAACAGTCTATTTATGTGTTGAATTAAAATGTTAATAATATACTTGGAACGGTTTAAAATGAGAAATATATTAGTTAGACTTATTTAAAAGTTATTTTAACTGTTAAGTGTTACATTAAATATGTACTACCCGCATTATCTACAGACAGTATTTTTTTGTAATTTTCAAAGCGCGCTAGTTTTTACATAGGTACACATATAACTAACGAAATAATATTACAATAAATAAGCGTCTTTTCTCGATAACGTTATAATGTCCTGGTAATATTAACCAAAGCTGTCAATGTTAAAAATCTTTTTGTTATATAAATCGGTTCAAGGCATATTACTATGCAACACGAGCAACGCTAATGGTGCAGACAATTAGCTTTACGTTAATGAGCTCGCCAACCAGCCCAGATAAAGGAGTCTCACTGTGGAGGTCGAATTTCGTTTCATACGACCTTTTTAACTTTGCCGGCTATCGACATCCGATTTTTCCGGCTACGTAAGTTGACCTGTGTGACTGTCTGTATTTTAGGCGTGTAGAACACAAATAAAACACAGGCTGCTAGAGGCCGAGTAGTCGAACTACTATGTTTGTTGTGTACCACTTGAGTTATTTATACTTTCATAGTCTGAAAATGTTATTCTACAAGAGTACAGTGACCGAAAATTGTTAACATAATTTTTACACAGATAATAGTTTAATTCATTTTTTCTTCCTTACTGAAACACATGTTTTTTCTTATTAGGCCACTCTACCTCTATCACCCTTATATAGAGGTATATTTAAATGTAAAGTTCCTTTTAGGAATTGCCTAAAGCCATCAAATTTGTTCGCGTTACGGTTTAGTTTGTGGATTTCCAAATAGCGACAAATAGGTCGACAGTGAATCTTGTATAGATGTTGTATGGCTACCTCATCACCTACCATCATCTAAATCTCTTGCTTGTCTGTTCTCCTCTACCATAAAAGAAAGAAAACTACTGAATTTACAAGTAAGTTAAGACAATCCCACTATGATATTTCTACGTTGAACATATACATCATCTCTCTGTCTCCTACGTGCCCCAAGCCCCATAAACCTCCTACAGTGTTCTTGTTTACCTCGTCTCAGGAGGTACGTCACACCTTTCCGTGTTTGTTTTCGAAAATTTACATACTTTATGGCGGCAGCGTGCGTCGACCTCGTTTCTCGTTTTCACGGAAGACAGTAAATTTTCTAAGGAAAAGCCTTGCGCCCGCGCCGAGGTATTCGTGGCTCTAACTCAACGCGGTACAAGATAAGTTCGACAGATCCACAGTCGAACAATGGTCAGAAGTAGATAATAATTTGGCTTATCTCGTTGTGTGTAAAATGTTTCTTGAAACACTCCAATATTTCACGAACACGCTTAACTGCTTAAAACGGTTATTTAAAAATACATTTACAATTATATTGAGCGGTAAATGTTATTCTTGATTTGTTGATGTATTATATCTATGCAGTTTATAGTAGTGTGTGTTTGTTCCAGTATATTCCTATTAAATATACGGCGTACGCTGCAAAAACGGTTCAAGATACCCAAAAAATATGTATGAAAGAATGATTCCTCTTTAAATGATGTAGAAAAACCCAGTTACCCAAAATTTCAGACATTAATAAAATACTTACAAGTTTTTTTTTTCGTATAGGATAGTAAAAACTGCCACATATCTAGTTAAATAGTACAGACATTGTAATAAACAACATCTACTTGAAATACTTAAGAATGTGTTAAAACGAGTAATTTTTCGTTTGACCAAATCTGTCAGGTTAGTGGGCGTGGTCACATGGCTGATCACGCGCTGACCATGTGCTCTTTGTAGTACGCGCCACGATAACAGAGCTATGCTAAATAGATTTACTTTTTCTTATCACACTATCCATTATTCCTCATCGTTGAGTACTGGCGAGAACCGCCCACTGAGTATCATCCTGCAAACAAATAAGCATGTTTCGTTTAAAATCGATGACAAAATAAAACATGTGACCAAGCCCTTTTGACGTGTAATTGTAGCAATGAACGGTCAATAACGGATTGCTTAATTCCCAAGTTTGCTAATAACTTTTCTGAAACATGTACTTCGTCTGGAAATCTGGATATTGAATGGGTGATAGGAATATCGAAATTCAGTCCACAGATGAAAAAGCCGTGAAATTTAATCACGTTTCGGTTTCAGTCTGTGGATTTCCAAATATCCAAAGGCAAATAGGTCGACACTCTTTTTCAGAGGCTGGGATATTGCACTCCTATCACGTGAAGACCATGTTGTCAATCCTTTATCATTAAAAAGAATAATTGCAGTTAAGAGATACAAAACCTTACATTATTTCCCTTTATTCCGTATAAAATATTCTAATAACATTTTTTTTTTAATTATTTATTACTTGTAGTTTATGCAAGTAGCAAAAATTTAAATACAAAGTCAATGAAAAAAAAAATTCAATCGAATAATCTCGATAATCTTTTAGGAAAACGTGGATACATAATAACGGTCTATAGATGGAATAGGAACGTGTTGACAACCGCACTATAACATGATACGTTTTCGTATTGAGGAAAACTTGAAATTAATTAGAGTACACTTCGAAGTACATTGTAATTAGGAAATATTCAGGTCAGAGAATGATAATTCTATGCAAAAGCAGTTGCTTTGACAGGTGTCAAGTGTAATAATATTTTGTAGTTATACAACATTAATATGTATTCCTCCAACAATATACTATATTAGGTTGATAGATTTACAAGTCAGTATTTCGAAGGATGCAGCGAAAAGGACATTATCAAAACGTAAAATTTCACTAGTAAGAGCACCTTCACTAATATTGTAGAACTTAAGAGTTTTCTTTTTTAAAGGCTTTAAAAATCTGGCTGCAATAAAGTTCATCAACTCGGGCAATTAAAAATCATTTTAAATAATTTAACTAATATATCCTTTTAAACTTAAAGTTTTTATTTAAATTTACTACTCGCTAAACTATAGACATATAGAATAATCTTTAAAATAATCTAAAATAAAGTGCGATTGTATATGTAGACTTTTGATGACTCGCAAGAACCGTTTTTATGGTAAACCAATTTCGTCGAAATACTATGTGGCAAAAAACTTTTGCCAGGTCAGCTAGTTTCAATATAACAGAACTTTCGAATCTAGGACTTACACTATGAAGCTTATCATTATACACATAGGTAACCAATAATGATGTTTAGATAAGCGGAATCAAATATGGGCGAGTTAAGCACACGTGCAACCAACGGGCCGGCCTTATCTGTGGATTCTGATAGTTACATGTGTGCAATAAACACAGATAATATCTGTCTATTAAATGCCGCAAGTGTCACCTCGTCCTTTGTTACATATTTTATGCGTGCATTCACATGTGATACAGCGACCAGCAATGTGTATTTTCACTGATAACATACGGTACCTAAACTAGTAAGGGCTGAAGTGGTAGAGGGCACATCGCTTATAGAACCGATGGGCCAGTAGGAGAGGATGTTCCGAAGTGGTGATCACGAACCTGGGCGTCCTCCTACCAGGTGGACAGACAACTTGGTCTAGAAAGCTGGATAGCAAGCGAGCAGTCGAACTAGAAGTCCCTGGGGAGGCTTACGTCTAGCTGTGGCCGCTCAACGGCTGAGAATATCTTTAGTTATTGCTTCACACCGATCAGTAGCAAATAAACAAACTCTTCAGCTTTATAAATTGTAAAATATAAACTTATCTACATGACATTGCGTAAATTTCCTTTTATTAAAACCAAATAATATACTAGGACTTTTATTATACTATTTTATCGTGTCATAAAAAATGGTTATTTACCGCCATTAGTTCTTAGTTGCTATATGTAGTATAGTGCATAATAATTATTTTAATGCGTCGAAAATTAACGCCTCTGTCAACATCGCCTATTTTAAAGCACGCATACGTCACAAGTAGATTTAGCGGTGATCTCACGAGTTACGCGATAACAATATTACCGTCTCAAATCCACCGGCAAAGCTCCCCTTTGTAGGTGAATCCGCTATTTAAGCCAATGATGCACATCTTTGCGATGCAAACCACGTAATCTGTCTGGTCTCTAGCGCCAAATGATAATATCCAACATTATTAAAATCTTTTTATATTTAAAAAAACTTTTTTATGATGATTTGGGCAGGACTCGAACTAACAACCACAACGATGCTTGCTGTTACTTAGATGAAGCAATACGTATTTTATTGCTCATTTCACACATCCGTTATCATATAGGAAATAGGATGAAAAATGGAAAACAATAAATTGCTCTAAGGATGATTTAGTGTTATTTTCAGTTTTACATTTCCTATAAATTATATTCTAAAGATGCCACTCACTCTACGGCGTTATCTGTTTTGAAGCGCGTATTTTTATTTATATATTTTGACTTATCTTAATATGCCATAAATTTAATATCATTAAGTGATAGGTATTATTAACTCAGTAATTGTACTAACTTACAGAAACCCGAGAGCGTGCGTCAATAAACTTTAGTTAGGTAATTATTGCTAGGTAAGCACCGTGACCAATTAACGCACGGCCCGAGCCTGCGCTTGCGCAGACGAAATTCATTTAAGCAATTGTAGTAATTGGCTGGAGTGCGCGTCTTCCGGAGCGCACATCGGCATTGTCCTGTTACATTTGTAACAGATCATAATCATTTTTGCTTGAGAATCGTGTCGCGTTTCATGCACCAATAACGCCATTCCAAATTTCGCTTTAGCTAAAGCCGCTTAATCGTTTAAGGAATCATTATGTTGATGACCGTTGCCGTATTTTGCATCAAGATAAAAATATAAATTATAATGGTATGTTTGACAAGCATGCGTAGATAATACGTTGGTACGTTTGAAGATCCTTTTTAAGGCTTCAAAATTAGATCTTATTGGCTTGATAGAGTATTTTAAATTTTACAGTGTTTACATTCGAACATTGTTCTTCCAAGTAATGATACCAAGTACCAGTAGTTGATTATTAAAAATTATTCTCGCGTAGCCGATCGCTCGATTACCGATTTCGTTCATTTCTCAGTCAGCGCCTTATAAGGCTCATTATAAAATTGATCGCCCACGGCTAATAACCAACGAAAAAGCACGTCCTTGCCGCAAGGTCTCCCATCCGCCCACCGCCACACCAAACATGTATCTGCGTTATACCTATCATTCGAAACGCCATCCAGTTAGTGCCTTTCGAGACCGTTATCACAGTGTTTTGTTTGCGCAACGTGTTCTCTACCTTTGATAACCAGCCGCGATGCGAAATGATGCGAAATATTTCCGGAGTTAGAGGAGTTCTATTAATATGGTGCGGTGCCGTGGGCGAATTCGGGCGAAGTCGGGCGGAGCGCTGCAGTAGCGCGCGAGTCGCCGCGGCCGGCCGCCGTACGCGCGCAACGAACGAACGACCCGCACCGCGCACATACATTGCATATACCGCGATCCCGATAGACTGCCCCACTATACGATTCACTGCTCCCCAAATCCCTACCAATAAACTAGTGCTACATTGATTCCATTGCGAGGGCGGATAAACGAACAAATCGACTAACTCGAACCGCGAAGGTGTCGCAAAAAGCGCAACACAATAAGCGTCTAATTATAACGTCGAACCGCTGAGATGCAGAACATTGATCCGCTGGAGTTCGCCAACATCCTGGCTACCGAGCTGTGGTGCCAGCAGGTACGGCCTCGCTTCATCTTCCCGCCGGCTTTGCCCGCTCTCCCCGCTCGAGAGACGAAACTAGGTCGCTAATTTACTTTGGAATCCTGAACGCGAGTACCCACGCCTATGATCTACGTCCCTCAAACTGAACAAATCCTTAAGATAATAAACTGAAAGTGTTTCTAGCGGGCTGTTTATTTTAAGTATTTAAGAGACGGTTAGGTGAAAGATTTATGGGGTTTGCTTTCGTACAATAATTTCAACACGTGTCATAATGTAAATATGACTAGATGGCACTCAGCGTCATTTAAACGACTATAGACAGTACTATAATTAGGTCGGATTTCTCTGTTCTCTTACATCTTTTAAAATATTAGTATTAAATTGTCAAAAATGCCAAACATCACTGTTGGGTCTACCTACATACCTAGTTATTTTAAACAACATCTGTAATTTACGCGAGTACATATTGAAATACAAAATTTTAACGGTTTAAAACGCGAAATAAATTACCTTGTTTTACGTTTTAAACCGTTAAAGTAAATTTAAATAGTTATTTTAGTTTATATAAAACTAATATGTAATTATGATGTACCCTAATAGATAAATAAATTGAAAAGTTTGAAAGGGCTAAAGAAACAATCAATTTCGCTTCGACGCTTTTGTTTATTTCAAGATTATTTGTTATTGATCCCCTTGTATTATTTTAAGTCTTTGTTGATATAACTGCCGTCGGAATGTGAAAGCTACAGCAATTTTATAATGACAACAAGCGAATATTGCACAATTTAATCGCGGTTAGTCTTTTGTATGTACTAAGGGTAGTTTACATTGAGATAATATGGTTCCAATATGAAATAATTCACAAACCTATAAAAATTATGAGTTCTGTAAATCTATTTCAGTACTACTTGATTCTGCTAGTAAATAAAAATGTGTTGATTAACAAAAAAGTAGCAATGTTTAAAACGTTGTTGTGGTTGGTAAATTAATGGTTCGTGGTAGAGGAGGTCAGACATGCAGTGGATCCACTTGATGGTAGGTGATATACCCCAGCCATTAACCATCTCAACAAGGTGCGCTGTCGAGTTTCGGGTTACTTGTAAAACCTTAGTATTTAGCGGTAGATTAAGACCTGATCTACTCGGAGGTGGTTTATCTTATAATGATGGCTCTCGTTCAATGCTAAAGTAGATTTTCCCTTTTTCCAGTTGGCGAATCTCGAGGGCCTCCAGTCGGGGGTCCCAACCCGCACGACGGCGACCATCACGCCCACGCAGTTGCGCAACTTCGAGCAGACGTACATCGAGTTGCACAACTGCCACAACGACCAGGCGAACCACGCGGGGTTCATACCGCCCTCCGTCACGCAGCCCAACTACGGTAAGGCTTGGCATCTTCAAAGTAAACGGCTAAAATCAAGCTTAGCATTTGAATCAAGTAGAGCACTCGTCCGTAGCTTAGTCATATAGTATACACTTAATTAAACGGTTTTAAATGCGAAATGTATTATTAGTTAACTGTTTTGCCGTACCAAGCCAAGGTTACTGCAACACATCCGAAAACCCGGCCATACTTAAAATAAATTGAAAAAATGTTAAATAATATATTTCGCGTTTTAAACCATTACTACTAGTAATGTTTCTTTTAAAAAAAATCGTTAACTTAAAAGGCATCATGTTTTAATAACGACCCTGACCTCTTTTGTAAAACTATTCACAGTCTCTCTCCAGACAATAATAATTTCTATTCGTCTTTACTCGTTGTGTCCCTCCTACTCTAATCTGCTATCGTTTCGATGTCGATGCAAATGTCAATTGTACTAAATCCCACGTGAGACCGGTTCGCGTTCAATTGCGAACGCTAAACACGTTTCCTATTTTATAATGCCTCGTTATAACTTATCTGAGAATGGCATCTCTTCGTTTTAGGCATCCTGAATTCAGTGGGCTACTGTGACTCGGGTCCGACGACTCTCCATGTGTCGCCGGGCCCGCTATCAGCGAGCGGCGACAGCAGCAGCAGCCCTGGCCTCCCAGCGCCCAAGAGACGCAATATGGGCGGTCGTAGACCGACCAAAGCCCCACAGGACATCTCGCCAGAAGAAGAAGAGCGCAGAAAGGTTCGACGTGAACGTAACAAAATGGCGGCCGCTCGCTGCCGGAAACGAAGGCTCGACCACACCAACGAGCTCCAAGAGGAGACAGATAGACTGGAGGAGAAGAAGCAGGCGTTGCACGACGAAATCAGGAAACTCAATTCGGACAGGGATCAGTTGCAAGCGATACTCAACAACCACATGCCGCTCTGCCGGCTAAACAAGAGATCCTCTAGTCCGCCCGACGTCAAACCTTTCCAAGACCCTTACCTCCTCCCGGAGATGACTGAGGATGGAGTGAGGGTGAAAGTGGAAGTCATGGATCCAGCGATCGACCCCGTCCCCGTTCTCGGTTTAGATAATGATATCTTTACCACGCCGACACCGGACAAAAGGTGAGTGTCGTGATTAGCGCATATGATTTATTTACGGCTGCTGTCTCAATGTCAATGTTAAGTTTTTGTTTAAGTAATATGCAAACGCATTAGAGTGTATACCCACGACATTCTTATTATTACTAAAAGAACGAAAGAAACGATAATTAAAAAAAGATAACATATATAATGTTGGTTACCTTTTTTCGTTAGCCTTAAATTCAAGTTTAGGTCCATTTTCTACATAATTAAATTAGATCCTCGGTCTCCTCTGACATACGTAATTATTAATTGAATTAGAACTTGTTACATATATTATTCTCTGTCAAACAAATATTATTTAGAACTACGATAAAATTATATAAAACATATTACATTTTTATGTAACAATACATAAATCTTCAATGTGAATTAACAAGAGCTAATATTTTTCCAGGATAATGTTGTCGGCGGCAAACCTAGCGGTTGTGACGAGCGCGTCGGCCTCCGTGACGTCACTGGACACTCCACCTGTGCCCAATCGACCTAACAGACCCAATTTTCTTCAAGTACCACTTAGTGTCACACCAGCACAGGTAAGAACAATGAACAATTTAATAATAGCATCATTATTAACTTATGATTGCAAATATGTACATACATTTTTATGGTTATTTATAAATACTGTCTGTAGTTTATGTAAAACTCTTTCACGTTTTAAACGCGATATATATAAGTAAAACTTATTTGATGATTTGAACTACTCCGTAACGTCGGACGTTTCGGATGCTTTGTCGCAACCGTGGTCACGGAGAGTCCCCCCGTTTCATAAACCAAACAAGAAAGATAAAAAAAATATAAACCGTACTTATTACCCGTTATTTATCTTTCAGATACACAACAACAAAGCGTTAGGCAACAACAAAATCGCCGGCATAGAGATTAGCACCCCCAGCAACGGAATCCCGTTCAACTTCGACAGCCTAATGGAGGGGGGCACAGGGTTGACCCCCGTGCACCCCCAGCCGCATCCGTGTGCCCAGCAGCAGCGCTCCGCCCCAGACCTCGCCTCTCCAGACGCGCACAATAGCCTCGTCAGTCTCTGAGACCACCTGGATGCCGCCTACCAGCTGTTCGAGAACTTGGCTCAGTAGGCGGCGCGGCTATACGCGAAATCAAACAATCCTCCTTTAGGTAACGTGCTAAACAGCCAAGTTTTGTATCCTATACGATACACGGTAGTGTTACAATAGCCAAGTTTTGTATATTTTGTTATACGTGATATTCAACTGTTTTACCATAAGGAAATAGCCTCTATAATTTGTAAAAGGAAATCTCACATGTAAACTGTGGGAAAACCTTGGTTTTTGAAAGTCATGCTGCATTTCGTTTTGTGTTCACTTCGTTAAGGCAAACGCCGCAAGTTACCAATAACACAACGCTATATGATAATAATTGTTTCTGTGAAGCAATCTTAGAAGCGCACAAAAACCAACGATGGAGGTACCGTTTGTTCGCGAGCTGATCGTAGCCGCGTTTTATCGTGCCTTCGTGCTCGGCCGTAAGACGTGCCCGCACGGAACATAGTTCGTACGCGTTATTCTATCCCTATCTCTGTCTTTCTTGAACCCCCGTCCATCGGCTATCTCCTTCTATTTATTTCACGCGGGGGTTCGTCACTTGCTCACTATTCGCTTATTTATCTTAGTGTTAGCGGCGCGACGACGCCATCTACAGTCAATTCTGTGAACGAAATGAGAATATTTTTATACCGCACGTCTGTATTTCTGCATTAATAATAATTGTGATGTGAAAATAAAACAGAGTTTTATTTGAAGCATTTCAGGGAACCGTGCTTAATCTAGCGAGGCTAGAGTAGATTAGAGTTACGACTAGGCACATCAGCCCTCGGTTAAATCTTGTCATAATACCTCGTGCCATTTGAACGTCTACACTCAGGAACGAATACAGATTATGTAGTTAATAAACTAACAGCAATATTACTTAACGAATAATTAATATATTGAATTGTAAGTTAGCTCAATGTCGATGTAATGTACTACCGTTCCATTGGATTAGGTATTTGGTAGAGTTTAATTTTAAGGAATATTTTGTGATACGTCCAGTGATCGCTCCTTATAGATCAGCGTGCGCGCCCATCTAGATTAAATTATAGTATTCAAATTCGACATAGCTAAAGTGCTTTCAAATTGAACGGGCGCGGACGACATTATGCGAAATAGAGTAAGGCAATAATTAGTGTAAGGACACCTAACCGTTTAACTATACGCATAACTTAGACCAAATTATTATTTTATGTGCTTTATTGTAGACGTAATTAAAATCTAAGCCAAATATTGATTTATGTTTATGTTAGGTTAAGTGACCTCCGTTTCCGGAAAGTATTAATGTCTATTGGTTAGGACGAGCGCGGAGTATTTTATTTTGTATTTTAAAGGTAGAAGTGACAGGTGCATTACCCTCTTGTAATAGAACATATTTTTAGCATACGTCGAGAACATTTATGCATAATAATGAGAGTCTAGTTGTAACGAGATGTAATTTTTTAAAAGTTTTTTAACGCCTTTCTTAGAATACTTTTGTATTTTTGCAATTAAAAGAAATAATGTTAGCGAAGCAATATATTTGATATAATATTATACAGCAGTAGTGAAATTTATGTAAATCAGGAGAAAATATAGATTTGTTTCCATACACCCGATAGTGTCTTTTATTTGTGTTGTACATTTTATAATTCCCTAACTTACTAATAATTACTATATTTTCTAGTGAAAAGTAAATTGACAAAATCTTATTTTATATAATATTTATTTATTTAACACTCACAACTTTACAATGTTACAATGAATTTACAAAGCTACTTTAATTTTACATGTATCGCGTTGGGAGAGCGTGGTGCCTGTTATAGGTGTAACCTGTGATACAAGTCACCAGTCCCTCTCGCCGCGAGCTCACTATAAAATTATTTGGCCAATATAAAAAAGAACTTAGTACCTAGAGTTACCACTTACATAAGCCTCTGCATTTTTATTATGAATCAGATTTTCATTAAATTAACACACTATTTTATTATGCAAGATACTTTCAGAACATAATAATTAATTCATATCTAGCTTAATCTTTACTATGAAATAACGAACCCATGGTGGCTTTAAATAAAAAAATAAAGTGATTGGAAATGCTTTTTATCGCATAATTTGTGTTTTTACAATTATTGTATATGAACTGAGATATAGTTCGAATAATATATAATTGTATCTCTATATATATCCTCTAGCAATATATATATATATATATGAGGTTGCTAGAGGCAGAGCGGCCTAATCACAAACAATATGATTATCAAGGAGGAAAATAACAATGCGCAATTAACTTAGGGGAAAATTAATTTGTACTATTATTTTTGTAAGAAAAGGTAAAGGTTAACGATTTTCTGCCACTGTATTCTTGTAAACATTTTTAGTCTATAAAAATATGAGAAAAACTCAATATTTTTATAGACTACTCATAACATGGCAGTTAGATAAATAAAAAAGAGAAATATATTATTATCCATCTGTGAGCAATATCCGAAATCCAGATGAATCAAACACCAGTTTTTAACCAATCACGAGTCGCTTCTCTCTCCGCTTAATGCGCCCTCTGTGAGTGCTGTCACTAACTAGCGTCTTTGTCAATTGTTACTATAGCGCCATTTTCACGGCATTGCACGTGTTGTTCGTTCAATTGAATCGCGCTTACTTAATACGTATATAATAATTAGTTAAAAAGTGTTAGTTTAAACAGAAAAACCGTGAGCAAATCAACTGCCGTGACCTTCAAAACGTGCTCTTTCTCAACGGATTCTTCGAGCGTCGATGGCGAGTCTTCCGATTGTATACGAGTAAACTGGGAAAAGGTAAAAATCGGACTTGTAATAATTGTTTTGTAAGGTGTCATTGTAAGGTTACTTTAACAGAATTGCAAACTACCGTCAAGATTTATTCACTTTAACAAAACTCACTAGAATAGATAAACCACATACATATCTCTCAACAATTTAATTATATACATTGCGGGAGAGTCTTCCTTTTTCTAAAGTTCAAAAGCTAAAATGATCGATACGTTTCTGTTTGCGAATGATTAAGCGCATATATAGTTTTGCGGCTTCAACTCCTAATATACCTAATATGCTAAAAAGACGAAGAAGATTTTTAATGTATAATTAAAATTGTTTAACGCCATTATGTGCAAATTATTAAAGTTCTCAAACAATAATTAGTGATTTGCAAGTGGATACATCTGTTAAACACAACATCTTTTACATAGTATGTGCACTATACGTTTTATAAAAATTGTAAAGCTCAAACCGTGCTAAGTTAGTACACTTCTTTAAAGGTAGGGTAGTTGACATATTTCTTATCGAAACCTAATTAAAGCAAAACTACCTGCCAATAAAATAGGAAATGCGCACTTCAGAAAATATATCAGTTTTTACAATTAAATTAAAACCTAAACAAAACTAATTAAGATATTGATGATTTTGTACACGGCGTTTCCACCTTTTAATTCTGCTTCTTAAGAACATGTTAATGAAGAAGATTAATTCTACAACGCTTATGACGCTGCAACCCATGCAAAGACCGAATACACCGCCAAGATTCGCTGTAAACATTGTTATAATTATTACAATTTCTTCAAAACACCTTTATAACAACTTTAAATTTATATAGACGTGAAAAGACGATTTTTTCCTATTTCATTATTACATATTTATCAAAACACAAAAAAAATTATCTCGAGTCCATATGTTTTCCGAGAGTAAGAGAGAGCAAAGAATCAAGTATTTATGTACAAACTTTAATAGGCATTCAGGCCCGTAGTCGTTATTCTATTATATTCTTAAACTTGATATTCGTAAAAACTTACAAAAGAAGATAATCAACGACATAACAGTCTCTTGTTTCTTTTGTACGAAGACTGGTCTTGGAAAGAAGAAGTGCATTATGGAGGAACTGTCGTTAAACTTTAGACCGTCGCTGAAAGAGAGAATTGGATTTACAAAATATATGTAAAATAAAATACACTTAACATTACATAGCACTAAGTATCAGTCTGGAATAAATTCAAATACTAAGTATGTATACTAATAATGGCTACACGATATTCTGTCTGAATGATTCGAATATTCATAAAAAACGTACCTACTTACTTATTCACAAATTCGACTAGAATAGTAGAACGTTTAATCTTTATCCGTAAATGTTGAGACAGGTCGTTAATTCGATTTTCAGTTGTCAAACATCGTTATATTCTAATACGTGCTCTACATGAAAATGTAACTCGTGCTGTATCCGGCATATCTTAGAAAGATAATTCAAAGACGCGTGCCATGCACCAACTCCAACAAGGGACTGTTAGAGTTGACGAAATAAAATATGCTTACTAAAAATTGGCGGTCAGGTGCTCGAGGGCGTTCATGTTGCCAACCACCAGCTCTGAACGATATTCATACGTCTCGCAGTCTCGAGGACAATCGCAGTTGTTGTTTATGAAAAACAAATCGCTAATTTGAGCTGTAAACAGTAAATTTTCAGTTATAATTTGAACGGATTTTGTGTCTAATACACTATTATAGTCTTAACTTTTATTCTTTAACGGTGCCTTTAGAGAAACATAGAATATTAAATATTTACAAGGTAGTTACCATGAGATCTACATTCGGAGCAGAGAGACTGCGAAGTTCTTTTTACAGTTTATACCGTAATTGAAGCATTTTTAAACGGTTTAAAACGCGAAGTTTAATAATTTTAAATTACATACTGACGTTTACAGCAGCCGTTTAAACCGTTAGGAAAGTTTTCTTTTAATTATAGGTAAATGGTGAGGGAGCTTGCATTTTTAAATTAATTCAACTGTCATATATAGGATTGCCTTTTGTTCTTACATTTAACACGTATAATGCAAGCGATACTTGATATATTGCAAGCCCGTTCCACATGAACATGGGGAACATAGATCATGGTGCAGTGGCAGTGTCTCTCAATCTGCTGTATGTGGCACAGCAAGCTGCAGTCACTGCTGTGGTATTCACCGAAGTATCGCACTTGCTTCTCTTCAGCGAACAGGCACTTGCGACTGAGCAGATGATACAACCGACAAAAAACATCTCAATTTCTGTGTTATCATACAAAACCATTAATTTTGTAACTTGACTAACGGATTTAAATAGAGTTGTTTAACCTATTCTATTAGGTAATTAGGTATATATAATCATGAGCCACAAAATAATGTCGCTGTTGTGGTAAAATATTTTTTTTCGTCAATAAATACGATATTTACTGATAAAAAAGGAGGAAGTAAATTTTTGACAGTATTGACCCTGGTATAGACCATAGTTCGTATCTGTACTAACTTTTTCGTATTATTCATAGATAATATAGACTTCTTAATGATTATTTACCTTCCGACGGGTAATCTTTTCACGTCCTCTGAACAATAAGTATAAGTTGGGTGAATGATGTGGTATGATTCAGAATTCGGACGGACCAAGTTCGATTCTTCTTCAGACGGAAATTCAAAAGCCTCTGTTATCATCACCTACAGTTGAAATTATTTGCATAAGTTAAGTTCAAATGAAGCTTTTTAACCTGCGAAGAACCAACAATAAATATTTATATATTTTCTATGTACGGGTGTGATTTGAAATGTTTATGCTTGATAGTAATGTATGCAAACAGTCCTCGGATTTGATCTCCAGTGAGTCTAACATTTTTCTAATCAATTTACAACATTTCTGACACATTTCGACTTTGTCTAGATCTGAATATTTAATGGGTTTCAGGAATATCGAAATTCCGTTCGGGTCACGAGTCACCGTTCACCGATGATAATGCCGTGAAATTTTATCGCAGTCTCTGGATTACCAAATATCCAAAGCCAAAATGGATCGACAGCACATCTTCTACTATCAAGTGAACTATGACCTATGACCACCCCCAACCTCCCCGGTCTGTCCTCCTCTATCATAAAACAATTTTTATATTTTAATGAAGAAGGAAAGTGATGGTTAAATAAGATTTTTAGCCTTATAGTGTAGATGATTATTGTGACGTTGATCAGCACTATGCGACACTTACTCTTGTTGCCCCTGCACTAACAACAGTACCATCCACGGCGTCTTCTGGATTATAATCCACAACCACACTCAACGCGTTTCCTAATCCAGCTCCAACATTTTGCGCAGTGATTTGTGTGAAATTCTTGATCTTTTCATTTCTGGTGATAAATTATAATGTGTTGAGTTAGATTTATTTTCGAAGACATATTGTATCAGTATTGATAGATGCTACTCTCTTCTCGTTCACGTTTGCGTATACAGTTTAATATGTTTTTGAGTTATATATATATACATATAGAAACGAGTACGTACCATCTGTCGACGACCAAGTGCCAATAAAAAGATATGTATGTATACGCAAAAAAGGGCTTGCTTTAATATTTCTCGGAATTATCTAAAAAGTCAGATGTGGAGAGAAATAAATAAATATGGAAACGAAATGCCAATAGTTCTAGTCAGTCCTTTTGATCCATAGATATCTTATATTTTACACATTATATCTTAGTTTGATCACTATTTATTTTTTAATAAGAGACTTTAACGGTTTAAAACGCGATATATTAGTTAAACTTATGTGAAAATGATTTTTAACTTCGGTCCGACGTTTCCGATGCTTTACAGCAACTGTGGTCATGGGGAGACTATTTTTTTTTATATAGATTTGTCTTCTAATTCTATATAAGACGGAATTTTTATACCCTCAATACTAGGGAGAACTTAGGTTACGTTACGTCAGTATGAATTTAAATAATTATTTGTAGGTATGAATCTGGTACTTGTCACCTTTTTTTGTATTGATGCTGGTAAATATTATTAAAAACACAGCAGAGACCACGGTTTGTAATTATCGGGTGAAATAGTTCCCGACAATTGGGATAGACTTTCTTCTTAAAGAAGCACAGCTTTAAAAAATCTTCGCAGCTCTGTGGTATCATCCCCATCACTTGTAAAGCCTAAAATTAAAAAAGCCTAATAAAATAATATGACTAGGTACATAACTACCGGTATTTTATGTTAAATAAAAGTGTATTCTAACTTTAAATGTATATCTTCGTTTAGTCGATGATCCACGACATTTCCCGATGACGTCGAAAACCAAGATTAGAGAACCAAGAACAATTACCATTAAGAACCATTAAGAGTCCTAAGTAGCTTTCAAAAATGGTTGTAAAAGCCTTATTGCTTTAACTTTTCTATACTGTTCAATACTAGCACAAATTCACTTACGTGGTACCGATTTTCTTCAATGAGCAATTCGATTTCATGAAGACTCTTTTCATCCAACTCTCCAAGCATTTCATAAAAACCGAGCAATTGTGGAAAAGCCACACCAACGTTTATATTTTTACTATTGCCTTCTCTGGAATTGAAATAAAGACCTGCGCAGTTTACCCTAAATGCTCTACATTCGGTATAATTAATTTTCCTAGCTACACAAAGGATTATTTATCAACAAAAAAATGTTTGAAAAAATAAATTGCTTCGGAAAATATACCATTATAGAATTTATGAGGATGCTAACCTTTTCTAGTTATTGTCTGTAGTTATATATAGTTTACGCGAATAATACTCATTTAAATAAAACACTTTAACGGTTTAAAACACAAAATATGTGTATAGTCGTGGTCGCGACTGCTGCAAGCATTCGAAACGTCGGGACGTAGTTAAAATAATTGTAAATTAATTTAACTAATATTTTTCGCATTTCGAGTCGGTAAAGTGTTTTATTTAAACATTGTGTGTAGTTTACGCGAGTCGTACACATTTAAATAAAACACTTTAACGATTTAAAATGCAGTAGCAGCAGCGGCCGTGCTGATGGGAATAAGTGCGAACTGCGGAGCATCCGAAACATTGCGCCGTAGTTAAAATAAGTTACCTGATATACAGTAACTTTTAGTATTTTGTCCACTTTTCTAGTTTCAAATAAGCTAGCTAATAAAACTTATGGTACTCTTCATATACTCACACAAGAGTCCTATTAAAGTGACGCAGAGCGGTTATACTTATTTGGTTCGGAGTACATATAGCAATGGAAGGATAGGGCAGGTTTCGCAGAGGTGCGTATTGGTTCTCTATTGTTATGCGCGTGGGCATCTCTTCAAAACGGCTGTAGAGTAGCCAGATAAGTAAACAGGCTGTTGAAAATATGGACGCTAGTGAGACGGACCAATAGCATCTATAAAGAAGAGAAGTTTAAGTTATTGGATATTTAAATTATAAAATCATAATAATTTAATTTCTGTTTGAAGTAAATACTGTCTATAGTTTACGCGAGTAGTACACATTTAAATAAAACACTTTAACGGTTTGAATCGCGATATTTTAGTTAAACTTATTTTATATTTTTTTTATATATTTCTTTATATTAGTTAAATAAGTTTTACTAATATATCGCGTTTTAAACCGTTAAAGTGTTTTATTTAAATTCTGTTTGAAGTATTTTATATGTACCGCTACGTATATCTTGCGAAGGTTTTATTTCTATTTTATATAGTTATTAATATATACTGTTAAACCTAGCATCAACTCAAAATTTAAAATTGAATAATATAGACAGCAAATCGATACATAATTTTTACAAAGCAAACTATGATGCCTTAAAGAAAGAACTGTCTTCTATTGATTGGAACCGTGCTCTCGCTGATGATATGAATGTGGATGATATGGTTTCTGTTTTTTACTCTATTTTAAGGAAACTTATACAAGAATACGTCCCATTGAAGCATAAAAGATATAGAAAATATCCGATTTGGTACACACGTTCTCTTATCAGACTGCTAAATGAAAAAGAGAAATATCGAAAACGATATAGAATTTACAAAAATGAGATGGATAAAATTCAATACAATCTTTTGAAGGACCGATCTCAAGATATAATAAACAAATCGTTTAGCAACTATATTAGTATTATACAGAACAATATTATCTCAAATCCAAGAAATTTCTGGTCTTATATTAAATCTAAGCGCAAGGATGATAGTTCTTTTCCTGCTGTAATGAATTTTAATGATAAAGTTGCAAATAATGGTTATGATACGGCTAATCTTTTTGCCGATTATTTCTCTTCGACATTTAACAGTCATTATCACAGTATGTCTTCAGACGCATCAAATTCAGCACATGCACGTAAACTTTCCGTTAACGCAAAAATAATAGTAAAAATGGACGAGGTTACTCGTCAACTTAAATTACTTGGCACTCACAAAGGTGCCGGGATAGATGCGATTCCTCCAATATTTTATAAAAATTGCGCAAATGAACTATCCAATCCATTAACTATAATATACAATGCTTCTCTTGACTCTGAAACTTTTCCAAATGAATGGAAGCGCGGTGTAGTTGTTCCTATATTTAAACAGGGCAGCAAAACTAATATAAAAAACTATAGACCTATCACCATTTTGTCTACCCCAGCGAAAATTTTCGAGTCGTTAATTTACCCCTTAATCTTATGGCAAACTAAATACCTCATCACGGACCACCAACATGGTTTTGTCAAAAAACGATCCACTCTGTCAAACCTGCTTAACTTTGTCAACACGACGTCATCTGATCTCTGTAGCGGTAATGAAATTGATGTTATTTACACGGATTTCAGTAAAGCTTTTGATAGGGTTGATCATTTTAAATTAATTCAAAAGATGAAAGATAAATATCCTATTCCGGAGCAGATTTTATCTTGGTTGCAGTCTTATTTAGCTCATCGGCCTCAAATTGTTAAACTAGGTGGTTATCAGTCTAACGTATTCTACCAATCATCGGGCGTGCCTCAGGGTTCGCAATTGGGTCCTCTTCTATTCACACTGTTTATTAATGACATTGGTAATCACATAAAAAATTCTGAATACGAACTTTACGCAGATGATCTAAAAATATATCGAAGGGTCAACTGTTTGAGAGATCAATCTCTACTTCAAGATGATATCAATGGAGTTATGATGTGGTGTAAAAATAATAATATGGACATTAACGTAGATAAATGCAACCTTTTGAAAATTTCTCGTAAACATATTAAATTTAAGTGGTAAAAGACCTAGGTATATTAATAGATAATCATTTAAAATTTGACAAACATATAGATAACGTTGTAAAAAAAGGTTTAAAAATGCTTGGTTTTATATTTCGAAACACAAAGGCTTTTAAATCAACTTTATGCTTAAAATTATTGTTCAATTGTTTAGTAAGATCTGTCCTCGATTATAATTCAGTAGTTTGGCATCCGTTTTACAAGAAATATATAACCAGAGTAGAGTCTGTTCAAAAGAAGTTCGTCTCGAGGCTCAGTTACATTGAAAACATCTACCACATAAAGAACTATGAAGATAGATTGAAGGAGCTGAGATTCCAATCATTAGAAGTGCGTAGAAATGCTGCACTGTTAACATGCCTCCACAAATTGTTAAATAACCACCTTGATTGCCCATCTCTTCTACAACATATCGGAATCTGCGTCCCATCCTTTAATTGTAGAATTATTACCTTTAGTCCTCTGCACATAAAACATTGTAAAAATAACTATGGTTTTAATTCACCCATTCAGGCAATGTGTAAATTGTACAACTGTGTTTTTAAATTAGATCAATTAGATTTATTCGTCAACTCAAATATGTTCAAGAAAAAAGTTTTAGAAATCTTACCATCCATAAATTTTAATTAGTTGTTTTATTCTTATTTAATGTCTACCTAATCTGTAGTTTTAATTGTTATGTAAAAAACTCTCTTTTTTTAATCTTTGTTTAATATATTTAGTTAAAGTTGTGCACACCTTTAAGTTAGATACATAAGTAGTATTAACTATTCTTAGAAATAGATTTTGTAAGTTTAATTATGTATGTAGTTGGTGAGCCTTGTATAAATAAATAAATAATAAATAAATATCTTATTTATTAAATATACTTAATGTTAATGATGGTGCTGAGCGAAAATTTTAAGGCTGGAACCACCAAAATGTTTGTACCCACCTGCTTAACCAATCCGGATACAGATAAAAATATTTTAAACCCAAAAAACTACTTTCCAGACAATATTTTCGTAATAAATTCTTAAAATTGCGAGCCATGACTTCAAACTTAGTTGCGGTATTGGTCGTTTATGTTTAAAAACTCACCATTGCATACCGTCGCGTTTATTTAAAGCAATTAAGTTAATTAAAATACTTATCAGCTCAAATTATTCTGATTATTAAAACCCTTGGCACCATCTGTTGTTTCCCAAACAGAAACCACGGTAAATTAATTAAACAAAAATAAAGGGGTTTCCTTGTTGCTTGTGGTATATTATACGACATTTTCGCAGGACTGTGCGTTCGATTCCCGTTACTACAAAAATATATATTTGAAAACTTTATTATTTTTTTACATGTACATTTTTTTACATATAGCACATGAAGGCACTATATAATAAAGAGCAACAACACGGATTCGGCGATGGCGATTCAAGTCCTGCCCGAGTCAAAAAATTTTTTCAATTTATTTTCGATTCTTAAAACATATATGTTCTCTTATTTTTTGATATCACATCATATAGGATAAACTTTTTTTTAAACTGCTTTGTTACATAAACCGTTACGACGTCGATCTGCCTGTCGTTATTTCTCTAAGGCGTCCAGAGACCAATGGTGTTTTTTTTCTAACTTGGCAAACGACCACAACCAGAAGAGGGAAGACCCAGTCACCAGAGAGAGAAGTAGTGAAGCCCTTTTATAAAATCATGATTTCATGTGAATTGTGTATTTGTTTACCAAAAATGCCAAGTAAGAAAAAATGTATACATGTTCCTTTCAGTAAATTATTTCAGTCTTATTCTTAGCATTTAATTTGTAGGGATAATAAAAGGAAATTAAGAAAATGTATAAAGTAATTTATTGAGAACAGATCTTATAATAAGTAGGTTTTTGAATGCTTTACAATAAAAGTCACAAAATCTGCTTGAGAAAAATGTGAATAGTGAATTAGTAACTATAGTGGCGGAAAAAGCATGTTATTGAAACTGAAATTTCATCTTTGCGAAATGAGACAATTTCATTGAGTATTAAATTGTTAATTATACACTTCCAGTACATAATTCTTATAATAATTATATCATATATGATATTTATCTACCGCTATCAATAGCATAAATCTAACAAATCTCCATAGAAAACATTTAATAATTGTTTTTCATTATATACGTACCTAATAGAATTTATATAAGTTACTAAAGTTGTAAGTACCGTTACCATAACTAAATAAACAAATACATATTATATGCTTCAAAAGTCTAAGTCTAAGAATCTTAAACGAACAAAATTTGTAAGCAAATACATATCTTTAAGACGATTTAACATTTCTTAAGATATAAGAATTACATTGAAAATCTTTCGCATTTTCTATGATAAAGTTTATTACAAACTATATAAAGTAAAATATATATATTCTTTATGAAGAGGTTTAACACCGTATTTTTAAGTGCTTAATACCATAAAACATTACTTGGGTTTTTGAGCGGTTCGAAGGTCGTAATCGAGAATTGGTCGACGTCGTAGTTTTGCGGACGTTTTTAGGTTACAGTCTGTGAATTTCGAAATATCTAAAGGTCAAATTGGTTGGTTGTTATACATATTTATTATGTATTTCATCTACCATTAGGTTAACACCGTGCTTGTTTGTTCTGCTCTATCAAAAAGATTACATCATCAAGTGTATGTCACATGTTAGTGTTCTCGAGTAAGCGAAGTCTAATGTATGGCCCATCGCTCGAAAACCTAAGTAGCTTTCCGAATGGTTGCTTAAGAAGTACAATTTAAAAATGTTTTGTTAATAAGACTCAAATTTCTAACCGCTTGAAGCTAATCGCTAACATACTATCATCACAGAAAAACACCAAACCATCAAGAAGGTCTCCCATCATCTACAATACGAAATCTACGTCTTACAATATATTGGTCAGTTTAAGCCTCAATTACCTTTGATTTGGCGTTCTTCATTGACATTGAAGTAACGCAAAATTGGATATTTGGTATCTCTATCATGTTAGATTACACTGTGAAGCTTAAATTAACCGTATTTAAGAAAATATAAATTAATTCATATAATTAAATTAAAAAAAAAGAACAATCGAATTGTAGCTATTTTACATTAAAGCACTTTAAACGGTTTGAAACGCGAAATATATTTGTTTACGTATTTCTAACGGCTTGACGTTGCTTTGAAACATTTTTAAGTAGTCATAATTTTATACACAACAAGTAAACGATAATCGTTTTTAATTTATTTTAATATATAGCTGTGAATACAATCTTTAAATTCCTATTTCACAAAAATCCAAATTGGTATATATGTATAGACGACTGGCTAGACCGCGCCAAGATCCATGCAGTATTTTTTGCTTTTCTGTCACTATATCTAATATCCTTTTTCTAAACCGTAACCAAGTGTGTATATGACAAAGGTATTCTGAACAGATTGGCCTAAAACTTTAGTAGCGCAAATGATGGTGTCTAAAACGAATTGACGTGCAGTAGCGTAGCTAGGGGGACTAGGTCTACCTAATCCTAAGGCTCAAGAAGGAATCGGGTCCTCATGCCCTCTTTTAGCATAGCTGAATTTAATGAACCTCCAAATTTTTAAATAGCAACAAGAACGTTGAATGGGAATCGTTTGATTGGACTATTTATGATTCTTTCATCTCATCCCTTCCCCCCCTTCCCCCTATGACTAGGTAAGCTACTATTATTTATAACGTTGGCTATGATCTTATAGTATAACCTTTATTTTTTATTAAATGCAACTAAATGCTGAAACGATACTTCGTTAAGACTTTCAAAAGAATCTAAAATCTATCTAGATATTCACCAATATCCAATACATCATAAGAAATAAAATATTTAATAGAACTAATACTAAATATATAAGTATGCGTTATATATTTAACGAAATTTATTTTGGATTGTAGGCAAGAAAGTAAGTTTTGTCCTTATTCTATGAAACATTTTATAAACTTGTGTATACATGTCAAGACATATCTAACGTTAAGTTTAGTTGAAATTTGCACATAGAATATATTGCCAAGCAAATCAAATGGTATGGAATTTATTTATAAGCCCTTTAACAATCCCACAGCTGTGAAACGAGCTAATAGTGTATATGTCTTGCCAAATCCATCTTGGTAGATTAACAGATGACGAACTTTTTGTCTACGTCCAGAATCCACAAAGATAAGAATATATTAGTGCGTGTAGTGGAATTTCTTAATTCTATGCAAATGCAATATTTTTAGACATTTAGACTAACCCAGTTACAACAACGTAACATTCTTTCAGTACAGTCTATAAAAATGGAGTGACATTAAAGTTACATATATTGGACAAGTAACCTCTAAGATATAACATAACGATATATTTTTTCCTTTAAAGATTATTACTATCATATAAATAGATAATATAAACTTCATTTATATGGATTATTTAACGAAATATGAGATTCAATCTTTCATAAGAACAGTTATCAACACAGTAAATGAAATATGCGTAACGCAATAAAATATAATACTTAATTTATACATATATAATAACTACCTGTGTAGCTGACTTCGTCCGCGTAGAATAGTTATTTTTCACACGCCTCGGAAACCCATAATGATAAATAATTTTCCCGTTTGTTTCTCACAGTTCTCGCTGTATCTTCGCTTGTATTAGTCACAATATTCTATAGCCTTCCTTGATAAATGCTTTAAGTAACATAAAAAGGTTTTTTCGATTCGACCCCGTAGTTCCTAGCGCGTTCAAACAAACAATTAAACTCTTCAGCTTTATATATTAAGTAAAGATTTAAAATTGTAGACATCTATTTCAATATAATACATACTATTACAAATATGTATATGTATGTTTGTAATAGTTTTCTACTTTTAATAAGAAAAATCGTGTAATATTAGATTCCATAAAAATAAGCATAAAATTGCAATAAATAATACAGTTTTATGCAAAATCTATCTGTGCTAACTAATATCGCTTTACATATATAATAAATGTTTTATATACAGTATGTTCAAACAAGTTACGATGATGAAATTTATTAAGTAAATTAGCAATAATCTTTACTATGGTAAATTTAAAGATTCATTAGTAAATATGAAAATACGAAAGACACCTATTGGCAAGTTATCGGCGATAGTATACAAATATTTTATAAACTGTTCATAAATATGCATCTTAGTTATCCTATCTCACAAGTATTGTGCGCTCCAAGTCTTCGTCTTTAAACCTATTTAATAAAAATTGTATTTCAATACAAACCGTACAATTTAATTATCTTAGTTTGAATATCATAAACGACAATATCTCAACATTTTAAATTTCCATAAACACCAAATTCCAATCAGTCAGTGCCGTACATATACAATGAAAGCCTTAATTCAAAATCTCATATCAAAGGTTTTCCCATGTCCTCAAGGGTTTTTAGGACTGTAATTGGAAAAGCCCTAGTTTTCCTAACGATCCTTCATCTCGAGTATCAAAAAGAACTGTGGATTTATAATCCAACAGATTTCGAAACAGGTGACCTCCGAGGAAGTATAATTCAGGAATCAATCCCAAATAAAAGGTCTCCCATCCCTAACTCAGGAAGGCATAAAGATCCAAACTGTGATTCGTGACGTCACAGGCTTACGACCGGCAGACGCAGGACTCAGTCGCAACGCAAAAGCACCTACCGGTGCGGCCGGTCGCAAAGAATTGAAGAAGGTCAGTTAAGCGGTGGTTTCATCCGCGGGCTATGTGGACGACCGTCAGGAGTCGAGCAGAACGTGCCAACGTTGTACCTGAAATTATAAGATAGCCCTAGTACTAAGTCATTACTAGTTGTAAGAAATTGGTTTTACTAGAACGCGCTAATGTGTTTGATTTGAAACATTTTTTCTTGGATAGGTCATTTATACGGCGTTGGGCATTAAAACCAAATTTAATATATTTATCTTTGAGAGCTTCCGTTGCGTGCGCTGTAAAAATGGGTAAAGAAACCCAAAAACGAAACGAACGAAAGCCTAAAAACCGCGATGAAGCGGAGCCAGTACCTGTTGTCCTTGTCTTTCGCATAGTTCTTGCCAATGTCGTTCCTGCTCACGCCCAGATGAGCTATGTCCAAGTGAGAACCATCCGACCATTTCGTTTCGTTTCACGCTTCGTCGCCACCATACAGATACCATAAGTGTCACTTCTGTCAATTGAAACAGTGCCACCTGTTGACGCAAAACAACATTAAAATGAGTTAAAATGTATATTGAATTATATTTTACAATAGTTTTTGTAATTTAATAATTAATCGCTTTTTCTTGTCGACAAAGTTACATATTTAAATTATTTGTGGATATTTAAGACACTTTTAACGGTTTTAATCACGAAATGTATTAGTTAAACTTGTTTACAAATTATTTTAACTACGGTACAATATTTCAGATGGTTTTAAAATAAGTTTAACTAATACATTTCGCGTATAAAACCGTTAAACGTATTTTATTTGAAATGTGTACTATTCGCGGAGGGGCAATATTAAATGTGGACTTGGATAGTCCAAAATAAAACAATTTAAAGTTAATATCTAGTAATTTCGAGATAGGAAAATTTAAAAGCAAAAGTCAAAACAAAATATTTCTGAATTATATTCATTTGTGTACCAAATATGTTGGTCTTTATTCTTTCTTTAAGACAATTTTACCTGAAATATGAAAACTTCCTTATATAACGGGTTTGATTGTGCACGTCGCGTGGTCGACTTGCATCGTCCCATCTCCATTCCCAAAGAGCTGATGAGGCAGAGCTTCACGTATGTGTCCGGGGCTTTGTTCGGTGACAGCTTTCGGAAGTGTGTACCCTTTATAATCTGTAAAAAAACATTAATAAGAAACTTCCTTTCACCTTACTAACGTAGTAAAAAACAAAGAGGACTAGACTTCACCCGGCATCCGCTTTCCGCGCTGTTGTTTGAACCAATTGAGCTACCGTATCCTACACGACAACGTCAAATTTCGTCGTTTAGTAATGGTATATAAATTCTATATATTAATAACTCTCTCGCACATACATTTTAAAGACATTTACGCAAACGGAATCTAAACAATGGCCATCCATGTAGCATGCAACTTTATTGTCAACTAGCTGATCCGGCAAGCACCATTCTTTACATATTTTTTGGTTTCATAAACCGTCTCCGCAGCGTTTTTTAAAGACTAAATAAAGCCTTCCTCGATAAATGGTCTATCCAACAGAAAAAGTTGTCTATACCATTCGTTCCTGAGCTAATTGAAATAAACTAACTCTTCGGTTTTATATATTAGTATAGATTTTCGTTATTTTAGGTTTTCTTGTCTTTCATTAAGACTTGAATAAAACCATTACCTCCACAGAAAGATGACCAGTCGTGGGATTATACTGTAACCCAAGCAAAAGCTCCGGAGCTGATCTGGTGCTGCAGCATGAGGAAGCTGAATCTGATCGTGCGAGACTGCAAGCCTCGCCACCACCAGCACTTGGTGTCATCACTGTTGTCACAGATGACGGAGTCGCCAACACTCCAGCAACTGACTGATTCGATTCCAGCTTTGGTAGCTAGAAGAATTGAAATTTGGGTAAGCCTAGTACTAGCTATACGTTATGTCAAAATTTAAAAACGGACCATACATCATAAAAACTAAAAGTTATTTACATTAGTTACATTGAGATTGAGACATTGAGATTTCGTAACATAAAAAAAATTTAAGAAATCCCACCTGCAAACTAGCTTGATGATGGTGATGCTGCCTCGGCATAAGTTGTAGCCACAAGCTGTTCTCCAGCTCAAAGTTAAGAGTGGCAAAGCTAACACTAGCTTCGCCTAATAAGCGTTGACGTCGCATGCGTTCGCACCCGTAGATGCGTATGCGCATCCCGAGGCCGTGTACGTCCTCTGAAAAGACACGATGTTAATTTTTTTCTGGGTTTAATGCCCTAATGATTCCAATAAAGGGGTTACAAGTATCAAGTATTCAATAATTTAGCTGAAAGAAGGGCATCACTTACCTGTTGCTGCAACGCACAGTTGAATGGCACCTACTTAGAGCGACAGCCAGAAATAATATTTGTACTAAAGACAACTAAAGATTTTCACTTACACGCAACTATGTGCGATGCCCTTACTTCAAAAATATATCTTTTAGTAGAAAAAAATAATCAAGATATTACCTGGATTAATTTTGTGTAAAACGAAGCTTTCCATGTACTGTGGATTCTCTCCATTGCGAATTTTCGATTTGTATTTTTGTTTCTTCAATGGGAGGAGTACAATTCGGACCTAGATACATAATATGTTGTAAATACGTGGTTTTATTGCAAATGAAAGAAATTCGTTTTAATTACTTGCGTCATTGAGTTAATTGATTAGTAATTTAAAAATAAATAACTGCTAACTAGTGTTTTGGGACACTTAAAACTTTGTGTAACTTACAGAAGAATAATTTCACTCTTTAAATTTAATTTAACTCTTGTTTATAATTTACTAATAACAAATGAATCTTACCTGACTTTGTAACACCTGTCCTGGTGTGCGCTGCGGCAAAGATCGTGCCTGCAGAACGTGCACGGTCATACTTCGAACGGGCGCATCGTAAAGTAGCGTGAGCTCAACTGAACCTCGTTCGGTTGAGCTACCACTCTCGCCGCAGAGGAGAGATGTGTCCTTAAGAGAAATAATGAAATGTGTTTCAAATGTATAAGTTAATTAAAAATCGATAATAAATTGAAAATCATTACGACACGCGCATGACTTGAACCGCCATCCACATTTATAATCGGTTTTTAATTTATATAGTGCCATCATGTGCAATAACAAGATAAAAATCAGCGAAACATGAGTTAATTTCCTAGCAAAGTCAAAATTTTTCTAAGAACCTTATTTCATAAACATGTTGGATATTCTCTGAAAATTATTAATTTAAATAGTCGGTAGGAATATTAAAATTCTGTCCAGGTCACGTAAAACCGTTTACAGATGCAAAATCTGTTAACTGCAAACATTTGATTTCAGTCTATGGATTTCTGAATGTCTTTATCCAAAAGGTCAGGAGTGTAACTTGTTTAGATATAATGCGTAAGAAGTAAAATCCATTATTTACTCCTCCCTTATAAAAAGTTGTTAAAAGAACCTACGATTTCAGTGTTGATAACGTAGTTTATTTTGTAATTCTACCTTTCTAACTTAATTAATTTATAAAATATGAATAAGGCAAAACTGGTCATACATTATGCGCAATGACATCGCTATCAACGCTGCTCTGCGCTTCCAAAGTGTGGATGTAGTCCGCTCTCTTCGGCACAATTTCATCTATCTTCGTTTCGCGAATGCTCGTCTCCCTTATTGCATTTTCAATAATATCTACTTCAACTTTCGGCTGGTTCTCATTCTTTTCCTCATAGTGACACTCAACTCCCTCCTTATCCTGGAAAAGGTCCAATACTATCTGTAGTTAACGCGAGTAGTACATGTTTAAATAAAACACTTTAAAGGTTTAAAACGCGATATATACTAATTGAACTTATTTGAAATACGGGGAGATGGGTCTCCACGTGACCACGGCTGCTGCAAACTAATATATATCTCGTTTTAAGCCGTTACAGTATTTTATTTAAATGGAAAGGATCCAAACAAATGGATACCACACGTTTAAGAGAAATCTCATCAAAGCGTTTACCAACACAAGCTCCATTCACTACACCAACTAAACAATTTCAACTACATTGCTGCCATTATATAGGCACTGAGACGTCTTTATTCTACGAATCTATGAGACACAATACTAATGTTTATTTGGGGATAGATTAGTCAGCGCTACCAGCCTATTTATGAAAATATTTCCGATTCTAAAACATTGTTGTGTTGTTTCATCTTTAGGTGATATTTAATTTTTCTAAATTATTTTTTAATTGTAGCTTATTATTTGTATAATTTAAAACTAAATTAAATCTGGTCTGAAAATGGTAAAAACTATTTTCGGTAAATATTAATTAATATGGAAGAACACATTTGATAGAATAAATTAAATATTGTTAATTTTCACTACATAAAATTAAATCAATAATATCGAAAAATGATTATTCATAAAATCACGGCACGGGTTTTTAGCTATCTTATAATGTTTCGTATTAAAACTCATTGCAATAAAATTTTTCAGTTAAGCAATAAATAAGAAAACAGCAACCTTTGATTTTTGACCAATTAGAGTCCCAGAAAAGATTTAAAAATAGGCACGAACGAAAATTCGGAAATGACAAACGGAAACTGCAGTATCGGAATGTTAATTCTATATGTATAGTCATACGTTATTGTCAACGTTTTTCCTGAGAAAGTTTTGTCTGCGTTTATCACAAGTTGATCGCCTCAGCACTTTTCGACTGACAAGAACCCTCACGCTTAAGGCAATGCATTAAACTTTTCGAACACTTTATTTTACGTAAAGTGGGAGGTAGTTAGACGTAGTATACGTATGCAACGTACTATAATATATTTAAGTGGATCACAGCAATTTCAGCCTATCAGTATTCAATCGTTGTTTTCGCTAAGCCTAATATTATGATACAATTCTGAGAAATAGAATTTCGTTTAATAACGTCCGTAGTAAGAACGAGATTGTTAAGGTAAGCCTTATAAATATTTTATCAGATCTTTCGGAAGATTCACTTTCTTTATGATTTAATTAACTTGTTTTATTTTATTCTGTTATATTAAACTATTGTCGTAGTGACAGTGATAAGAAAAAAAACTAACAAGCACCTAAGTAGAATTTTTGAATACACAATTAAATAAATGATTTGTATTTTTGTCCAATGCTGTATTAGGTGCTTAGATCAAACCAAGTAAAAAAACAAGTGCTGTAAATAAATACGTAATCACGTGATTTACTATATCGATAAATATGTTAGATTCCAATCGAACGTAAGTCTCACCTGTTGTATGCGTAAGCGCAGCTCTTCGTCAGAGTCCGACGCCTCAAACGTGAATATGCGTTCGGGGTATTGGATGCTTTTCGACAAAGTATCTATAACAACACACGTACGGACATAGTCAATCTGTATAAATATATCTAAATATTTTTTGGCTATATATTGTTTTACATTTAGATTTATTTTACTATTTAATAAGACGGTAACAGATTATATCGCTCTACCTCTACCACTAATAACCTCTATAAAAAAAAAAAAAAAAACTCTATAAACTTTTGTGACGCATAGAATGCCCTTGGACTAGCTACAAACGAAACGCCTCAAAGGACACTGTTGACTAAACACTACGGTCAAATAACACTGAATAATTTAACTGACACTTATTTTCTCTACACTTACTTTGAGAAAATCACTTACCGAACTGTGCATTGTCGAGGGGAAGCCCAGGAGGGTCGACTGCTACGTTCACATTGAGGATTCCGTTGCGTTTACGATTAGCAGCAACTGTATAGCACCATTTCTTTCCCAGGAACAGCAACAGCACGAGCAGCACAACGGCGAACGCGGCAACGGCACTGATGTACGCTGTTGCCTCCACTACACATTACACATGAAAAGACACAATGAAGGTATAGGCTGCGAAGGTTTTATAAAACTATATATATTTAGGGACTCACCATTAGGATTGACGCCGCCAGTACTGGCCACCATCCTGCATAGTTACATGTTCCAAAATCGAATTGATTTGTTTTGCTTCTGATAAAACCGAGGAGTCAACGAGCACGGAAAAAAACTGGAATGTGTTGGCAGTAGCTGTCAGTAGCGCACATGCGCAGTGGGAGAGGGGCTCGGCGGGGCGTGTGAAATTCTGCGCGGCGATAGGACGAAGGACCTACAGGTACCCTTAGCTACAGGACTGTCAAGGCCGAGGGCACGAATACTTCATGAGTATGCTTATGTTGGATCTAGTACCGAGTCGAGGCCTAATTGAACCTTTTAATATTGTAATTTTTTTGTCCTTGAACACTGTTGTCTTGGGACTAATGTGTTATTTTGCGTTTCATAATTGTTTTTATTTACTGAAAACACATAATATATAGATTATTTAACCATTGCGACACTATTACTAATTAACTACCTGTGTCAGCGACTTCGTCCGCGTAGAATAGTTGCTTTGGGATCAAATTTTGTTTTTGCAAAACTCCTCTTCATCTATATAGATTTAAGCTATTGCCTACGACGTCAGTCGCGTCCCGGGATTCTTGCAAGTTAATTTTAAAACATAGACATATAGTGCCGCAGACATTTTTTTACATCATTTAACTCTCACTACATTAACTTCCCTACATTTCCCGCTGTTTCTGCACGCCTATTAGTCGCAGCGCGATGTTTTATAGTCTGTAACCTTCTCGATAAATGCTCTTGCAAACATTCAGAGAATTTTTCAATTCGCACGAGCAGATCCTGTGATTACCGCGTTCAAACAAATAAACTCTTCAGATCTAACATATATTAGTATAGATTAAAGAAGGCGTTTAAAACAAAGAAAACTCTTTTAAACAAAATACTTTAACGGTTTAAAACGCGATATATTAGTTAAACTTATTTGAAAATGATTTTTAACTTCGGCCCGACGTTTCCCCGTGTCCACGGCTGCTGTAAAGCATCCGAAACGTCGGTCGTTAATTAACTAGAAACTCTTTACTAAAATCAACAATAATATTTACATTGATTAAGACAAACTGAATAATGACTACGAATATTTGTTAAATGTTAGTACATAGATATAATATAGTTTCTTGGCTGATAAAGCCACTTATAAATAGAAACGGAAAAGGTGTCTTAAGCAATGAAAAATACTCTGGAGGTTGAGTCCCGTTGAATTTTCAAGGAAGTAGCTGAATAGTAGATAATTTGAACCCGGGCCTCTGCGCCAGGTAATGCTAGACAACACGTTTACCTACTCAGTCTAGTCTGCCTAGTAGATATTTTAAAATATGTATGTGATAGTTGAAGAGATATAGTAATATAAACATTTATTTTTTATGTGACCTTGATTCATTCTGCACTACAGATAAAATATGTACATATATCTTTTACGTATTATTACGAGTGGGAGTACGAAGTAGACCCTGTTGAATGGTGAATCAATAACGGCTATAAAATTGGCTTCATCATGAGTTCCATAATCCGGCTGGATAGGTGCCAAGGTGGTCGAAAATACTCACAATTTAAAGATACGCATATCGTAAGTATGTGGGTATAAAGCTCTCCTAGGATTACGATTTTGAGAAATGTCTATGACCCACCGTATATTGGTTTTGGTTTTTGCTATTTGTTCTATTATTGATGAAAGCAATATAAAAATTAAGTAGAATATCGAACAATTTCAGTATAGTAACTTAATTATTAATCTGTTGTAACAATCCATATAGCCAAGACAGGCTTTAAATAACACATAAGTTATTTTGTCTCAAGCAGTTGTTAAATATCTAAATTTAATCCTTTTTTGGAAGAGACGACAATACAAAATACAATACGAAAGAGCTGACAAATCTGCTTTGAGCTAAACATAATTGACTTTTTTAAATTAATTAATTCTTACTACTAGCGTTAAGAATAACCAAGGTATGGTATATATAACATGTACATGGATAAACTTATGCAATGATGGTAGTGAATAAGACTCCGAGATCGAATCGAGACTTATGTACGAAGACAATCAATAGTCTATAAATCTTTAGCTATCTCAAGAAATGACATGGCATTTCTTGAGATAGCTAAAGATTTAGACAGTTATTTCTTATTAATAATGTATTTCTATTTCAAAAATAATTTAATAGCTTTTTGTTACGACAAATACTAAAAAACTAAATAAGACTTGAATTATTAGGATCTCCCATAAAACTTGCACTATTTTTATTCTCCCTTTTGCCTGAGAACCATAATAGTAACACATAAGCCCTTCAAACCAACCAAACACTCAATTGTACTCATATAATAAATATAATTAACTTTTTTTAATTACTGTTGTTTATATAGAGATATTGCCGAAATGTACGTGTTCGAGTGGGTCTTGGCCGGTGTCTAACTTAATTTTAAACTATTTTATATAATCAATTCAGATAATTTTTAAACGTAAGTGTAAATGTGTAATTGTTCCACCTTTAATGTCTGATAGAAATGCCTGTTTTCATTTTTTTGTGAACTTGTGTCAAATATTCAGGGTAAAATCTAATAACTGTTCATGTTAAAATAATGGTATGGCAGGAAGCAAGGATATCGGGTTGGGCCGGAATTTATGTCCAAATCATACCAAGGTTAGCATTTAAATAATTTAATGATTTTAAAGCTAATATCAATGAAACATCGCAATAATATTTTGAAAATGTTTTTTTTATTAACACTTACATTTTTACAGCGCACCTAGCCAACAGAGTAATACTATAAAAAAGAAACGGTGTAAAGTACTGTCGAACGCAAAACAATGTTAGTCCTACAGTGTACGTACAATAAACAAACAGCTTACAAAGATCCGATCATTACAATAATATTTAACGACTATTGTCAGTGAAATGTACATCGTTCCAATCGAACGAGCACAGAAGATCACCATAGAGAAACAAACTTCATTTTAATCTATAAACATTTCATATAATTTAGATTTATTAGTTACTATAATGTTATATATTACTTCTGTAACCGTTATTATATTATGTTATATGTATTCGTTACGAAATCGAAATGAATCGCTCACTCGGGCCTCCTGCCGTCCGACCGTCCGTCTGCCCCCTCGCCCCCCCCCCCCCCATTACCTCGCTCTCGCGCCCGGAGAAGAGCCGAGTGTCGACAAAACAAGATGACTCTATCATAACTGTATAATTTTAAAAATCTCTAATTACGCATTCTCTACATTTGTTTATTATCATTTAATTAATTTAAGAAATAAAATCTTACATAATTACCATGAGCAGCCTATTTCATAATCATGATGACGAAATTCACTAATGATGATTAGTTTAGAAAAAGAAAAGCGTCGTGTCGGGCGGCGGTCTCCCGCCGCAAGCGTCGCGTTGTGTATGCGTCTTTATCTTTATCTACGTTTACGATTCAAAATATGGCTCAAAATTTCAACTACCTACCTAACAGTAAGCGGTAGTACACTAAAACCCAGGCACTCCACAACCACGCACCCGATCGAATCGTCAACTAAACATTATTCACACCGAAATTCAACTTAATCTAATTTCACTTAAAATAATATAATGGCTTAACTGTAATTTTACAACAAATGCTTTCGTTGGCCGCCGAGTGGTGGCGCGGCGGGCGTCTCGTCTTAACGCGAAGGTGACGGTACAGTTAGGCGACGGTCTCCTATAAACGCCGAAGGCCGCTACTATCGTTGAGACGTACCGCTGTGGTTTTTTTGCGTGTGGAAATTGCGTTTATAGGGGGGCCTTAGACGACATTCGATTGAGAGCGTACGATTCTGCGGTACACGTTACAACATGAGACGCCCGCGACGCGCTCCGCTCCGCTGCGAGCTCGCCGACCGCCACAGCGAAGCGACGGCGACAGCGAGCTAACGATCGCGCTCGCCCTCCGCCCGTGTCATACACCACTGAGATTCAACTGAATATCCGAACGAGATTCAAAGCGTCCAATCGTTAACAATATAAAATATAATCGCGTCAGAAACGAAACTGTAGTGTTACAATATCACAACATACACCGTGCATATATATACATAGCGCTGTGCGACCGGCGCGGGCGCAGCGGAGCGTGTGCGCAGAGCGACGGCGCACTCGGGTATACGCGGTAACAAGCGGTGATAAGCGAACACGACAGCGATTAGACATATACCGCAACCTCTGTCAGTCTGGTACGAGAACACAAATGAAGGTAACGCGATAACTAACAGTTGCACGACGCGGTGTGGACAGTGGCAGCTTAGTAGTAAGTCTCTTGTTCGAGCCAGCCGCCCGGGTTGCGACGCAGGTAGAAGCGCCGGATCTCGTCGTAGATGAAGATCGACAGCATGAACGGAATGGCCGGCAGCCACCACACGAACCTGTCGCCGAATAATTCCGTCAGTACTTTGCGATCAATAGTTTTTAACTTTCTGTTATAGAAAAAAGCTCCTGACCTTTTTTCTATAACTAAAAGTATATATATATAAATTATATTGAGTATACCATGAAGTAGATATACACCATGTATACCTCTTAACTAATATTGGAATATTATTATCTGGAATGTCCTACTATTTTAAAGTTTTTGCCATGGAATGGTTTATTAACTTTTATACACAGGTAAAACAGTATAAAACATTTTTTCAGAGCGCATTGACTGCGAGGATAAAAATGCTACATCACTTACTTGAGAGGGTACATCCTGAGTCCCTTGTCCATACCAGGAGTGTAGGATAGGAAGGCGGCTAGGGCAGTTTCGAAGACGATACCGAAGTTAAGGGCCCAGTTGCGCATGCCCTGGTGCACGATGGAGTTACGACGGGTCTTGCAGATAATCAAGTCGGCCCATTGCACTACGACGATGGAGACGAAGAAAGCGGTGTGGCAGGTATACTCCAGGGCTTTGCGGTCGCGGTAGGTCTGCAAAGGCGAGACAATCAAATAAACAGAGACACAGACGATATATAGAATAGAAAAGTAATACGTTAATTCAGAACAATTTACAATTAAACTTATTCTTACAAACATAATATGAAGAGAAATAAATTCAAATTCATTTTTATATTTTAATTAAATACATCAAAAAAGTTGCCTCTGAAAAGTAAGCCACCCTAAGCTACGTTGAGTCTAGTTTCCCAACACTGATATACTGTGACCCCTTTAGAAGGCGAGCTAATACAAGCAGTGTATATATTTAATAAGGACTCTTTGTTTTAATTCGGTTAGTTTAAATAGTAACTACATACTAGGTAACCTAAAATTGTATAAATAATTATAAATGAATTGGATTTTATAGTCAAAAGAAAAGTACTCAATAACTCCACTCTGTGGATATCACAGTGATTGTCGAATACGCACCCATTCTTGTCCGTAGGAGTCAGTTAAGTCGTTGATGGCCTTGGAGTCCCATTGCTTCCTGATACCGAACAGTTTCAAAGGCAAAAATCCATTCTCAGCCATAATCACAAAGTACACGAAGAATCCGGCCGCGGCTTGTATCATCCCGATTTGACCGTAGGCCATCGAAATCAACCTATGGACACACACATACATTGTCAATCTACATTCCACGATGGATTACGCTACGAAAAAGCAAACTAATTTACTCGTACAATTAATTTTTAACGATGCAAAATCTCTATAATCACCCTCCCAGAGTGAAAATGACAGCTTTAATTACTCAAACAAAGTTACGAGTTGCTTGGCAAAAAGTGCCTTAATTAATTTTGCACTGAAATTCATAACATGCATTTTTGCGAAGCGAAGGGTTTTTTTAATAAACCTAATAGTATAAGAAATTTGCTAAGTGCGACAAATTAAATTTAAAATAAAACAAATTTCTCGAATTTTAAACCGGGTTAAGTACTCGTTGAGTATGTGAATTTTAACAAACCGAACCGAGATTTTGGACATTTAAAAACGCATTTACCAAGTACTTATGTGTTAAAAATTTGCTTTATTTCAGAATTTCTGTAGCATTTTCGTTGTACGATCACAAAATATTCTATTGTATCGTGGTCTACCACTAAATAATAATTAGATATCTGTAATTACGTTTTAACGTATTTTTATTTCTTATTTTGAAACCGTTCGATTTAATATCGCATCATTCAATAATCCTACAACGAAAATACTACAACAAAGAGAAATATAAACAGTAAAGGCGTTTGTCTGCACTCACCTTTTAAATAAATGTATAATGTATGCTTAGATATAAACACAGATGATATATAGAAGCAATCGTTACTCTCATGTACTAACACAAAGGGAAACACGCAAAAGCAGAGAAAGAAGCGCTAAAATAGCGTATATCTGTGTGTCATGTATGCGCTGACGGCGAAGCGAAGTGCCTAAACATATATACATAGAATTAAATACAAAATATATAACCAATATTACTCTCCATGTCTCCTATGTCATTCTTTGAAGAAACATTATTGAAAACTAGTTCTATGTAATCTACGCTAGGAACAACACACATTTTTCGCTAGAATCACGCCCTATCGACGTTCACTAGATTGTTATCTAACGTGCATTTCTTGACATTTCTTGCTCAATGCCCTTCGCTAAGATTTAAATATGGAAGAGTGAAGATTGTAAAGAAATGGATATCTATTCTAGACTGCTAAAAGATCTATCGAGTTGAACATTCGAATCGTATATAAAAATCGAATCGCTATATTTTGTCCGATGGAGGAAGATAAATGTGACAGTTGACATTGAGGATAGAAGTTACTAACATATTGTTGCACAATTAAATAGATAAATTAGGTACGTACTTTTATCTTTTTCAATTGTCAGATTATAATATAATGTTATTATTTTGCTGAACGCTCCACTAAATAGGCGGCGCCGGTCAATAAAGTATAACATGTAGAAAATAATATACTTCATACACATAGACTGTCAAATTTATCCTCCTATATGAGACAAGATATAGAAGCAATTTATGCGGGACAGAATATTCCCGAAAGGAAGGATAGTAAGCTAATACTGTTTATGTACTGGTGGTAAATTTTTATTGTCGTACTGTGTTAGGACCCTCCCGTAATCACTCTTCCACATCCTCTTATATAATGGAACTGTTCATCCAAGAATAGCCCACAGAGACAATTTTATGTGTTTTTTAAACCAATTGCAATTACTGACGTGCAATTTTCCATTTCCGAGGCATGCAGGAGTCGATTTTGTGTCGAATTTTATCAACGTAGTAATGCTTTCATAATATGAGGGGTTAGCACGCACATCAAACGTTGCTTAATTTGAACTGAGTGCGTCAAATGTATGTATGGTGTACATACATTTGATATTAGCAGTTCAAATTAACCACATAAGATTTTGAACTCTAAACATTGATTTACCAATACGTAGATATCGAGTCTCAACCAAAGTATTCAACAATAAATGAGACGTCGGATGACTATTTATTAATAAATAGTACAAAAACAAAGATAATGTTGAAAAAATTTAAACCATGTAAATATTGTTGTTTTAATAAGTACGACTCGTAATCTAGTATTGCTACCTCACTGGCTTGATGAAGAAAATTGCACGTCATACATTCCGTTGTGGGCTAGTCATTGCGTCAACACCCATAATGATAACTAAAAGCGTCGCCAGTGGTGCTGGCCAACCTTCTGTTGACGAGGTTGTCGCGGTAAGGGTCCCTGGGCTGCCGCTTCATGATATCGGACTCGGGCGCCTCGTACGCCAACGAAATAGCAGGCACCTTATCAAACACGAAGCGATCAGCACAAACCAATACACGCGCGATTCGCGCGCGCTCAATTTATTACATATACCTTCTTCACCCCAACGGCGCTCCGAATCTTAGCATACATATATATAATAGCGTGTTATAAAACAGTATCTCCATAACTAGAACGCCTCAGAAGAAAATTCTATTCTAGAGGTGTGAGCCCTACGTACGTCTCGTGTTCTAGTATAGAAACGATAGACCTAGCCATGGTAATTGTTGCGGTGAAACGTGTCGAGAAATCAACATGATAGCGATAATTTGTGTGTCGATGTGCATGGAGGGTATGAAGAAAAAAATAGATAAAAAGTAGAAATATTAATAAAAAAATACGTATTATTAGAGTAATAAAATATCGTCTCAAATACATGCACAGAGGGTAGATGGCAAAACACGTAGGGTAACAACGGACACTTACCTTCTAGCACAACACGTACACCAAAATTAGAATATCAAAAACACATGAAGGATGGAATAATGTGTTCTTGATCGGGCGTATAGCGAAACACGTTATTCCATGGGAACAACAAGCTACATAGAGAAAGAGGGGAGAAGTTAGTTTATCAAAATAGACAACGCAAGGCAGAAAGTAGTAGCTGTGCGTTCGTCGCCTTCAATATCCATACGCTATGTCGTGTACCTACGGGACACCGTCCACGGAGCAGGCAACAACCAAACCTCAATATTGAAGACTAATACGTGGTAGCAAGCAAATAGCGGAAAGAATAATAGTTTTGTGCGAGCGTTGTTCGCTCGCGGTGTTTTACCTCTCGTTAACGAGCTTATCAGTGAAAGGATTACGCGGCTGTCGCTTCATAATGTCAGATTCGGCCTCCTCGTAAGCCAGGGAAATGGCGGGCACCTACACAAACACTAGCTATGAGAGCGTACGGCCACACGTCAGCGTACGCGCACGAACGACAAAGCGTGGTGCAATCATTGTCACGTGTCACAACACCGAACATTCAACGGGCGCTGCGAACGCACGTCGCGACGCCATCTGCGCCCGAGATCAATAACGCATCAAAATCATGACGGTCTCAAAGAAAAAATCCGTCTCGTAATGGATATGTTATTAACATCGGGCGCTAGAGGGCGCGGCGTGGGATCACAAAGCCCGCGTGGGTAGCTTAAAACTAAAAATTAAAACACATAAATTATTTTACAAAACAATGGCGACTGCGCTGTCCGAAACGTGAAAAATAAATGAACGATGAGTGATGATGAAACTGAGAGCTATCCCCGATCGTCGGTTGCCGGATGATGGTGAAGGTGATGAGGAGGAATGTACATTTGTGTGTGTCTTGTTTACTGTCGATCTACTCGAGACTTACGGTTCCAGTACCATCGATTAAACTAACTGAAACTTAGCAGTGAAACGCCCGATTGAGGCATCGTAATTCTAAGATGGGGCACGCTGCATTCGGGATTTATTAGTAGGCTACACTCAAAATCCCTTAAACTATAACAATCTTACAATTTACAGAGTCCATGTAACGATATCGCCTGCTGTATCGGGATATGGTTACAAAGACCGATTAATATTAGAGACACGCACGGACGATATCGAGACAACACCGACGTTATTAGCTGAAAACTTGTTAGATCTTATTATCGGGCAACACACTATAATAGGTAGATTAAAGAGACCTCTCATTGACAAGTTTGTCGCAAAATGGGTTCCTAGGTGGTCTTTTCATTATATCCGCTTCCGCTTCCTCGTACGCTAGTGCGATAGCTGGCACCTAACATATCAAGTAACACATTATATATCCGACGCTGGAATCTTTAAGGAAAATATTCACGTCTCGCTTTTAATCTCAGTGAAATTAACATCAAAAACGTAATTACAAGTGAACAAATTATGCAACCAAAGTTTTCAAACACGCAAATTCATGTTTCCTTTCTTCTGCCGATTTATTTTCGTGTAATTACGCTTCCATAAGTTCGATATTTTTAATCTCCAATTCAAAATGTAATTAAACAAGTAGATCAGGTTTTATCTATTAAAAACACGAACTTATGCGGGACACTAAGAATAGAACCGTATGTGTTTAGTATTAGAGTACAACTTACCATGTCAGTTCCGAGATCAATGCAAAGGATGGTAACAGTACCGAGTGGCAGAGGAATGTCGCAGAGGATAAAGGCGAGGAAAGGTGAGATTTCTGGAATGTTCGAAGTGAGAGTGTACGCGATGGATTTCTTCAGGTTGTCGAAGATCAACCGTCCCTCTTCAACCCCGGTGACGATGGAAGCGAAGTTGTCATCCAGCAGGATCATGTCGGCAGCCTGGCATGTTTTAAATATTCATTTACAAACTGTATTGTAGCATAAAACATTATGGTAATACTTATATATATAAATAAAAGTATTGCCATAATGTATATATATATATATATATATATTATTTGTTTATGATAGAAGACAGACAAAGCACGGGGTTCACTTGATAGGTGAAATACCCTCCCATATAACATCTAATCAAGATGCACTGTCAATCTACTTTGGCTTTGGATATTTCAAAAATTTACCTGCTTAGACACGTCAGATCCAGCGATACCCATGGCGACACCAATATCGGCTTTCTTAAGCGCGGGCGAGTCGTTGACACCGTCTCCTGTTACAGCGACGATGGCTCCAAGACGCTGGCAGCCCTCGACGATGATCAGTTTCTGTTGAGGCGATGTCCGGGCGAATACGATTTCAGTGTGGTACCTGGAAAAAAAACAAATATTTTACTAAGAATAAAAATGCTTCATTATTATTATATTATAATAGCAGTTTCAAAGATATCAATCATTACCCTTACAAATAAATAAATAGTAATTTTGCAAAGGCACATACATTTAGGACCTTAGGCTATGTTCTGTGCTAAACTCAAAAAAAGAAACTGTATAAAAGTTTAATGTAGCTCCCCCAAATTAATAAGTGGGCTAGACGGATATTTTTTTAACTTTTAATGAATTAAATTTACTGTGACCATACTTACTTAAGAATCTCATCCAATTGATCAGAGTTGAGTTCCCTCAATTCAGTTCCGTGTACGACAGCCGCCTTGGCTTCACGCGGGTTCACTTCGGAGACGGGGATGTTCAGGCGCGCCGCGATGTCTTCGACCGTTTCGTTTCCTTCAGAAATGATACCAACAGACTTCGCGATGGCTTTGGCTGTGATCGGGTGGTCACCAGTTACCATGATAACCTAAACAATGGATTATTTTGTAAATGTAAGCTGAAGAGTTTGTTTGAAGACGTTAATCTCAGGAACTACAGGTTCGAATGAAAGTATTTTTGTTTTGGTTAATCATTTATCAAGGAAGGGAAGCAAGGATTCAGAGGGAAATGTGGAAAAAACGTGGATAAATATATATATTATTTAATGTCTCGTAACATTAGGATATTTTTTGTTGAAAGGAGATATTTTTTTACGATAAGACATATTGCAAATTATTTTATTATATAGACTGTAGAGGGTCAACCGTACATACCTTGATACCAGCAGATCGGCACTTGGCGACAGCATCAGGTACGGCAGCACGGGGAGGGTCAATCATACTCATGAGGCCGACGAATCGAAGGTTGTCAATGGGGAAGTTGACGTCATCTGTGTTGAACTTGAATCCGATCGGGTACTTGTCGGAGGGTAGTTGCAGATCGCAGAAACCGAGCACACGTTCACCGAGACCTCCCAATTCCAAGTACGCGTTGTTGAAAGCTTCCTTCATTTCTTCATCCAGAACCTAAGGCATGAGAAAAGAACATAGTATTTTAAACAATTTTTTAGATTATGAATTTGGAGCATTACTTTCTAAACAAAAACTCTTACCTTTTCCTTTCCACCAATAAAGATGGTGCTGCACCGTTCCAAAATCCTCTCAGGAGCTCCCTTCATCACAAGCAGGTGCCTAGGATCGCTGGGGTCATCACTCTCGTGGATAGAAACTTGGTACTTGTTGGTCGAGTTGAAGGGAATTTCGCATACTTTCTTGTTCCTCTTTCTGATGGACAAGACATCACCGAGCGCTAGTTCCATGCACTTGAGCAGGGCGGCTTCGGACGCGTCACCGGCTACTTCCTTCTTCAGGATCGGTACACCCTCTTGACCACCTTTGAACTCTGCACGGTTGCAGAGGGTTGCAATTTTAGCGAGGGCCTTGAATCCAGGGCTGGTGCGATCTGTCGAAAGTGAAAATAGTATATGTCAATCGTGTTATTAATTTGATACCGAGTTCACAGAAACGACTCAATATATTGCATACCATATTGAACTCCAGACTGATCTTCAGTGGTGTCCGCTTCAATAATCTGGTTGTCGAACCACATGTGAGCGACGGTCATTCTGTTCTGGGTGAGGGTGCCAGTCTTATCAGAGCAAATAGTGGACGTAGATCCTAGAGTCTCTACAGCCTCCAAGTTCTTTACAAGGCAGTTCTTGGAAGCCATACGTTTGGCAGTGAGAGTCAGACATACTGTTACAGTGGCTAGTAGACCTTCCGGCACGTTGGCTACGATGATACCTGGACAGGAAATTTAGAGTTCGTTACAAATTTGTAAAATTATGCTAAACTATTTTTTATTAGAAATGACATCTTACCAATGAGGAAAATAACAGCATCGAGCCAATGGTAGCCGAGAATGAAGGCGATAACGAAAAACGTAACACCCAGGAAGACGGCTACACCGGTAATCAGATGGATGAAATGGTGGATCTCCTTAGCGATAGGGGTCTCGCCAGTGTCCAAACCGGAAGCCAGACCAGCGATACGCCCCATTACCTAAAAATATATCCTGGATAAGCAATTTCCTTAAAAACATATCACATCAATCTCTAGGCCAATACATACAGTGTTGTCTCCGCAGCAAATGACAATTCCTTTAGCGGTACCTTCAACGGCATTAGTCGAGAAAAAGGCCAAGTTCTTAGTCTCCAACGGGTTTTCGTTTGTGAATTCGGGACCACGGGATTGAGGTTCTGATTCACCGGTTAAACTCGAGTTGTCCACTTTGAAACCTCGCGATTCAACAATACGGACATCAGCTGGGATTCTGTCACCGAATTTAACCTTGAACACGAACAATACATTGTAAAATTGTATATATAGGATTTGAATGTAATGTCCACGTATCAAATTGCTTGTTACCTCAACAATATCGCCGAGTACAAGATCTTCAGCGCGCAACGTTAACTTTTCTCCCTCACGGATGACGGTCGCGAACTGGGGTACCATGTTCTTGAAGGACTCCATGATTTTCGATGACTTGCTTTCTTGGTAGTATGAGAAGATGCCCGTTACAATAACTACAGCCGCTAACACGATACCGAGATACAAGTTGTCATCTGCGGGTTCCTCTACCGTACTCGCCTATAAAAACAGTTTTATTGTGGTTTAAATATATGTCATGAAAACTTTCAACAATTTTACAACTATTTAATTATATATAAAAAAAAATGAAACTTGATGTGATAAGGCCTTACTTGTTATGTAAACGCAATGATGTCAATTTGTCTTCCAATTTTAATAATAAACTTTAGAATTACATATAAAGATAATATGACTAATAAAAGCAATACTATACAATAAAAGTACTGACCTGGATTCCGTAGGCAATAAAGCATAGAATAGCACCAATCCACAGTAATAACGCAAAACCGCCGAATAGATTTTTACAAAACTTTACCCATTCGGGCGTCTGTTTTGGGGGTGTGAGTGCATTTGGACCATCCCTTTCCAAGTTTTCTTTCGCTTTTGCATGACTAAGGCCCTGCGATGAGAAAAATGAGTTTGATGAGATCTAGTTAGGGTTAAGTGTAGGTCCACATCTGTACAAAATCCTTACATTTTCTGGATGCGTCTGAAATCTTTGATAGAGTTCCTCTGGCGTTACTTTGTGGTAGTCAATATCCAATTCTTGTTTAAGATCCTCTAAGTCTCCAGGTTTCCGTTTTTTCGCGGGGGGTTTTCGCCGTGTCTGCGAAAGGAGTGACAATATTAAAACGAGATAAATCCTCCGTTTCCAGGCACAAAAAGCTGATAAGAGTTTTGAAAAGCGAAATAATAAACGATATCACTGTACGACTCTACTGTACTGCGGAAGTAGCTTATCTTTAATAATGTTCGAAAAATTAAAACACATTTGCAAGTCGAACAATGATATGAATGATAGATGGTAGCATGCAAGATGAGAACCGATGGTTGCATGCAATTCACACATCGATTGTCATGTGAATGACATGGTAATGCAAATTAAAAACCTTGTAATGTCCATCAGCTGTTCTATTATCATCCTTAATGGGGCCGATGGTGGCGACGCGGTACGAGTCGGTACGGCCATGCTGGAAAACATAACTAAGGGCTAGACACAATCTACTAGGCGGCCCTAGGGCCATGCAATGGAAACTAAGTGCTATGGAAATGAACATCGCAGGATTCAATGAGAGCGAACCGTGCGTCGTCAGAGAAAATTTGAAAAGTAACCGATTTATATATCAGAATCAGAATTATCATCAATTTAAAGGTCGGTTACTTTCCAAATCTTAATGATTCGAGCGTAATAAAACACAAAGACATAGCTTACTATAAAATATGGAAATATGATATGCATATTGGGGCGTCACTGAAAATCGGTGTTCTGCCTACTTCCTTAAGGTACAAAAAAAACTGAATGGTGTCCTACCACATATATATTTTCTTTTTTTTAATTTTATTGTATTTTTTTGTTATTTTTTGTATGTGGAATATATGATTTGCCCTTGACGACGCTATTTTTTACGCTCACCATATTGGTTCCGCCACAAGCGCGACGTGTAACCTTGGGGAGTGCTCTGTGGTCCTGCTAGGGATCACTGGCTCAATGGCGCTCAATTGATATGAACTAGTTACGTGTGCGAACCTGAGAGCAACTGTAACCACGGTCGCATCACGCGCATACATGCTTAAGTATACAATAATCGCCCTTATCACAACAGGCGCTAGTGCTTATTTTCCGTGTGTACATATTCAGAAATTTTCCCGCACATTGAATATAAATTAGACGACGTTGTGACCGTTCTAAATGCGTATCCATCGCGTAAACAAGTTAGCCATCACCATCGATAATTATTGATAAACGTTTTCGTCCCAGCCCTCATTAAAACGCGCTATGAATATCCGTGAAGGTTATTCAGAAGTAACAATACGGCCAAGCGTACGCCTGCAACGGCAGACTCGTTACCTACAATTCGAAAATCGAGAAAGAGGTGAGTAGTTGCGAAAGTTAAAATTTAACGACACCTTTTACGAGCGGACTAAACTCCAGTGTCCAGGCGAAGATAAAACGATTTAATATTCATAACTAAAGTGGAAACAGTACTGAGTACACGCTTTAAGAAGGCGTGATCTTTGTTACATAAGCTTGGGGCAGCACGCGTGCGCATTCGGCCCAACCCCCGCTTCGGCCCTCGACATAAATAGCTGAAAGACAAGGTTGCCACCCCCGGACCCTAGCGACCGCATTCTATAATCTCTGTAAAGGTTAAACCGGAATATCTGATAGAAAATCGAATCCGGTTTGGCCCAGCATAAAACCGAACGCTTCACAAGGTGACCGGGGGATGAATACTTAGGGTCAAGGAACAATGACGCTCTCTCACAATGGAAGCCAGTTTCCCCCCTCCTTTTTGTAACCGTTCTTATTAGGAATCTGAGTGAAACTAATCGACGTACACGGGCAAATATAGAATTGCGGGGTGACGTCGCGTCGAATGGCGAATTCAGACAGCGACGCGGACAATTTCTAAGAAATAACAAAGAGTCATCGATCAGAGATTCACTGCCACGGTCACGAAACCGCTTTACACCGAAAATTTGTGGTTACTATCGTAGTAGCTATCGAAACATGTGAATGAGACAATTATTTTTAACTAATGCCGCGTCGCGACCGCGTCGCGACCGCGTCGGTGTTAGTTTGACGCGCGATTTTATGCTCTCGGTGCCAAAACATTATTAGAATGCGCGTTCACGTGTCTTTGTTGGTACACTCGATGTAACAATCCATTCCGATCTATCTATACGTTTATTGGGCCAAAGAATAAGAGTGGGTGGGGACGAACGCTATTTAAGGATCACTTTTCATCCGTCTCAGCGATTTTTAGTGGTTCAAACAAATTTCTTGTAATTAAAACTACAAGAAATGTAAGTATTTCATAGTTGTGAATATAAAATGCTAATGTTATTGTCGTTTGACCCTGACAGCTGATACCAATTCGGTCAAATTAAATTTTATTTACAGACACTGAACTGAACCTGAACTTGAAGCTATAAAATTAATTAGCAATAACAGCGAACTAAATAGTTTGATAAATTACTCTTATCGCTAAACAATAACTTTATTGTTGAGATTATGTGTTATTAAAAATACTTCATCAGCTAGTAACATTAAAAAGACCTTATATTGTGATTTAAACGCCCTCGAAGTGTGAAACTAATTATTGTTTGTCTCAAACTCCTGAAGATTCCGTGATTCGAAAACAATATTTCAATGTTTGTACTGCTAAAACGCTAAATTGGGACAAAACACTAATAAAAAAATAACATGAAGTCAATGCATGTAATACTTTGTTTACACTTTTGAATTTTATTCTGAAGTCAGTACATTAGTATCAAAAAATAAATCTCAAACTCTTCAAATGAAACTATGATACACATCGCTGAAATTGGGTCATTTAGCAATTCCCTTCAGCGTAGTCCCAAACTTTCCTCGTTAGCCAAGTTTACGAGAATATCATTTATAATAAGAGAGATTTACGCTTTACGCAAAATAATTTTTTCCGTGAAATTTTAAACAAATAAAATGCAAACTATTAAATGGATTAACTTTTCTTATTCAATTGCCTTTCGCATTGTTGAATAATATAAGAATATTTCATAAAAGATTTCACAGCAGATCAATGAGGACCTAGTAAATAACGTGTTACGTAAGGACCTTCGAGATTTTGGGACAATACAATGGACATCAAGGACTCGGTCCAGCGGCATAATTGATGTGTGCGTGCTATCGTCATAAAGGATAAAGGAAATACTCCAATAGAGCGACGGCACTCTATGCGATTTAAATGACATAATGACAAGGCAATTTCCTAATAAACCTTCGGTGCTCTTACACTTAGCGGTCGGGCTCTAACCGCGGTCGCCTCCCGCGGCTACCTGTTTAGTCACATCCTTCAGAACACCTTGGAAGAATTATATTAATCGATCAACATTGAAGTTCTCTTTGCTTCTATTAAATTTCTTCAGATTCGCATAGTTACTGAATCGAACAATTTGTTCGGATCGGATCCATCTTATTCATTGGATAAGATGAATTATTTATGAGCTTTTCTAAAGATTTTAATGATCAATTAAATTATCCGTTCATTAGTTCTCTTTGTTTGAATTTAGTTGAAAACAGAACGAAGCGGCATAGAAAACCACAAAGCGAAGTGTCTCCTGCCGCACAGATCAATACGAGCAGTTACGCAACCCGGCCGGCGCCGTCTTCAATGATCACACTCCTATATCTTTCCTTTATCAATTCATTTACTACATTTTTACTATTGTAGGCAGACTACATAATGGATGAGTTAACATGATATGCTGAACATTTAAATGACTAGCGTGTACAATCTAAGTTTAGCGCAATCGGCAAAATGTGGAATGAACTATCGAATTTTGCTTTTGCTCGATGAAGAAACGGCGAGCCGATTAGAACAAAACGTGAAGTCTACTTTAATTGACATGCACTCACATTCTGAAGGATCAATTATATAAGGACTACGGTACAGACAATCGCGCTATGTCGGTGCACTCACCTCGCCCATTTTCGCAAGTGTCTATTGAAAAAGGCGGTTTAAAAAGAGCAAGCCGCCTCGTCGCCCGTGTTCGCCGCTGTAGTGGAGTAGGTCGTCCCTAGTTCTGCAAAAGCGAAGACCTTTACGGCTTCCTCGTTCCAACGAAAAACTTAAAAATGTGTGCGCTTCACGTCGGTATGTCGCACGGCACTGGGGCTATGTCATCGTGATACGAAACTGAAACCCGGTATGAGAGCGGTGCGAACGGATGACGAAGGCACGTCTTCGGGCGGCCTGCTTCGGGCGGCGACTGACGATGGGGCCAGTGCCTATCGAGTCGACGGCGCACTGACGTCACACTGCGTCACGACGCCAGCGCCGCGACGCGCGCATCTCGCTGCGCCCTCCTGCCCAGCCCGGCGGCTGCCCGCCCGCCCCACTCCTAACCTTTCACAACCGATGACAACCGCCACCGATCGACACCATTTCCCTTGCCTATCGCCTTATCTAACTGTCAAATCTAGCCCGAGTCGCGTTCAAAAGGACATCTACTCGTCGATAATTATAGTCATCAAAACTCCTAAACACGTCTGCTACATTCGTTACGAGGGTGAAAACCTTGAAGACTAAGATCCTATAGATACTCAATTACACACTGAAGTTACCCATACTCTTTATATTACATTATATCACATTAAATTTACATTTCGTCTCACTCTAAACATCTTAGGTATTTCATGTAAACGTTTTTATGGTGAGTGAACGATTCCGCCGCACTTTATTACATTAGTATTATGATAATGCAATAAACGGGAAACATAAATAGATTGCCAGATTTTATGGGCGTTTCGACGAAGTAGGGTGGAAATCCTATAATATAAATATTTTATTGCCTCGTGTGATCTAGACTTTGGTAGTCCGTTAGTACAGATTATCCAATGACCTACAAAATAAAGGTCTGTGAGTGCCTCAAATTCCAATTTCTTTTGCAGCGGCGAATCAAATTGTGAACATTTCTAACGGACGAATGTTTACGCAGGTTGTATAAACATTTGCGTAGCGTAATTATGTTAGCTCGAACTTAAAAGCTCGTTAAATTAATTAATCGTATCTAGTGAAGTTTTTCTTCGAAGGGAACGTCAAAGGACGCTAAAAGTGTCTATTTTTCGTTTCTTATAATTTTGTATGTTAGTAAGTAACTAGAGAATAGATATACAAATAGTTTTATATGAAAACCGGCTTCAAGCCACGAGCAGATACACCGTTCTTACCAGCGTAGATACCGTTTAGTTAATTTGTAACGCATAAATCTTAGTTCCCTTGTAGTCTCCAGACACCTGACAGATATTAATTTCCGCTACTTGAAGACGCCCTGCCTCGAGTAATTACGAGACAGCAAATATAGAGCGTGGTTTTCAGGCCGTCAGTTTCCCCACTCAGTCACGTAAAGGAGCTTAAGGTTGCTTTTAAGCGACTATCGCTACGCGTGAGTGGGTAAAGAGTTGAGATCGGAAATGTAGATAGAGGCTTTAATTGCACTTCTTTGTCATTTTCAAGAAAGACAAGTGCAACTCTTACTCGCATACGAAAACTTCCATACCGCTCTCATTGTCATCAAGGGCAGCAATAAAGTCCCTTTCAAAATATGGGTAACCTACTATTTTTGTTTCGTTCATATTAAGTGTTGTAAACAGAAATATGTCACTATTACTTATAAGAACGAACTAGTCAGTGGAGTAATAAAGCGTATAGGCTTTATTTTTAATCTGTGGCATAACGGCTTTCGCTCGAGTTGCTGCCGATGAGAGTGCAAACACTTTTGAGGGTCACGCTATCCCGGACATTATGCCAATCGATACCGTTGCACCGTGCCAGATGAAGTACCCGCCCCATGGATTCTAATACACCGCACGAAGTGGCATTTCAGGCCCGTAGGTCAGTTACGCCCCATGCTATACCGATTTATCGATCTCATTTTATTACTTCCTCTTTAATACACATAATGTCAAGCGACGTTAAAGTCTGGGACCTTTCCATTTCAAAATTTTATGGGCAGGCCTTCATTTATATACCTTAATATGCCATTAGGAGTAAAATAATTTTTAGTCCAAGTGGGCAAAACAATATATTTTCCAACGGCGACGATAAATCGAGCCGGCTGAAGTATTATGTAAGCCGTGAGTATGGGCCATTCCTCCGGCGGAGACCGGCTGATATGAAAATTCGTGGAGCGGTTTGGGGGTTGAGTGGGGCGCCTGGTTTGAGTCTGGGGGCGCGAAGGCTCTATTTGGGTCACCCCGGGCGTCATCCCCCGCGATCAATACGAGGCCGGCGCGCGCCGGTCTCCCGCTTGCGCGTTGCCAACGGATATCCACTAGTACTGCCTACCAACATTACATTTATTATTATTTTATTAGCTATTACTTTTTCATATACGCACTATATTGGAGCAGTAAACGGAGTTCTTTTATTGTCATTTCATTTCCGTTTGACTTTAATTTTCTTATCGGAGTAACTAAAAATTTCCGCTCAACAAGAAGGCGGTTCCTATATTATGTAACTCATGGGCTAGACAAAAATTTACGAGATTGCGAAGTATAAAAGATGAAGCTTATAAATCAACGCTTAATAAAGATTGTCTCAACATTTATAAATTGCTAAAAGCGTATAATAGGCTAACTTTGGCGAACGAGTATAAAAATATTTAAAAATGACAATTAGCCACAGGCGCCGCTTATGCGGAACAACGGGCTATCTTTTATCTCGCAAATTTAATTGGGTTAAAATCTAGGTTAGGAAATATACAATTACGGATATTGAACGAGTTTTAAATCCGCGTGTTTTACAGTAAATTTAACGTTATTTAAGGCGCAAAGGTTAAATGTACCTTGAATATGTAGATATGGGGCGGGATAAATAAGTTAGTATAAATATACAGCAGTCGGGATCTAGAGTAGGTCGGAAAACACAAAGCGAGTTTTGTACATTTGCATTTAAACTAAAGGGAGCCCGAACTTTTTATATCCACAATTGATGAAAAACTTTTTGGAATAAAGCTAGTGAAATATTAGCATACTTTTTCCTTGGGTTGTATAATTCTTTAGAAAGTATTCCGACATCAATAGTTAATTTTAGGTGAAGAAAGACATTAAACATAACATTTTTGGTATTACTATTCAACTGGACAAACCATAGATTGTACATAACCGAGCCATTTTCAACTGAATAAATTGAAATGCTAAATACAATTCATTCGAGTATGCAAAATAGAGCGTATCTTAAGATTAATGACATTTCTTTGTTTTGCGTTCATGCTAGACACTTGCATGAATATACCAGAATCGAACGTACACAACCTAGACTTTAGTTTCAGAAATAAACCGTGTGTCAAAATAGATGGTAAACGCCGTACAGTGACGTAAGAACGCGAACAAACTTTGTGCCAAAACGTGCCCATAAAATTAATAATGGAAAAGCAAAAACTATTGCGACTGGCGTACTACCTTGGTGGAACTTGTTTAAGGGAAACGTCGAGGGCTTCTTGAATGAAAACATTTGTTTAGGTCAACTTCCATTAGGCGACGTAATGACAAGTGGCTCTACTTTTCGAAGACAAATCTAATTTTCCTTATACGACGCTGAGCTTACTTAGCTATAGAGCTATGTCCACCTTTATATACACAATATTAAAAAAAGTGTTGGGAGTACCTATTTATTCTTATGAAACTTATTCGAAATATTTATACATTCTTAACATGCAAGAAAAAATCTATACTAATATTGTAAATCTGAACAATTTGTTAGGTTGCTAATCTCAGGAACTAGTTACTGGTTTGAATTGAAAAATTGTTTTTGTTAGAGAATTTATCGAGGTAAGCATTCCTAAGCTATAAAACATCGCGCTGCGGCCAATAGGTACGAAGAAACAGTGGAAAATGTGGAAAAAACGGGGAAAACTATTCATCTTTGTGGCTGCGGAAAACGGTGCAAGAGAGAATAATTCCATTTTAAACGATCTAAAAAAACTTTACTGACAGTTTATGTCTATATTTTAAAATAAACTCGCAAGAACGACGGAACATTTATAAGGATAAAGAGGTTTGCAAAAACAATAATTGATTTCCGAAATAACTATTCTACATGTATGAAGTCGCGGCCACAGGTAGTGTTTTCTAAAATGGCCGATACACCGCGTAAAAAACATACAATTTCCATAAAATCTCTAAATCGGATGTAGACAACAGCACTGATAACAAATCTCTATTGCCCGATGCATTGTGCAAAGAAATCTTTTTGCACAAAAGGTATAGATGATTATCGCCGTCTCAGACAGGCCTACGCCACTCCTAACCGCTTCGAAGAGGTTACGAGCCGTAGCACCGCAGAACTGCTACGTCAGATTCACTCTGTATCAATATTAGATTTCATCAAGATCGCGCGCGTACTCCGAGGATATTATTGGAAGAACGCTATACTTAGACAAGTGAGCTGATGTATCTTTGAATTTGATTTATTAACGTCGGAGTATACTTTATCATCGACCTTCGCGTTTCCACGAAAATGTACTACAAATCATTAAACAAACCATTTTAAATTCTGTATTAATCAATACTATGAACACATTCTTATATAATGATACATATTTAAAAGTTTAGAAGATAAATCACTGAAACTTTGATCCGTTTTTACATAAAAATTACTAAATAGATTTTGAATTAAGTTCAGAAAAGCAATTTTTTTGCAATTTGCACACTATTTGAACTATGCGCACGAGCATCCTTTACAATCAAGTCTTTTATATAAAATTCTGATTGTAGTTTACGCGAGTAGTACACATTTAAATAAAACACTTTAAAGATTACAACGCGATATATATTAGTAAAACTTATTTGATAATTATTTTAATATATCGCGGTTTAATCTATTTTAAAGTGTCTTTTATATGACTTAAAGCACAATCAAAATAATGTTTGGATATCGATTAAATAATATTTCACTCCATGTGCCCCTGGGTAATTGCATACAGCAATCCCCTAGAAATTGGACAGTCACGATATCACATACAGCTAATTCTTGTGTAAGTTTACCAGAGAAGTTAGAAGGTAATAATAAGACCAAACAAGAGAAGAAGATTCTTTGTTATCTCTAGTTTTTTTATTTGTACATTTATCACGATTTTGTATACGAATACATAAAAACAATTCATCCCGCCTTATCGAATACTATCGTTAAACCGAACGTGGAGTGTTCGAAAAATTCCATGAGTCATTACATCAAATCTATAGATATATTTTTCTATGTAAACTAGCTATATTCTGCAATTTATAAAAAGTGAACGCGTTACATTCCAAGAAGCGTTTCAGTCAATGAAATTATTATAAGCTTAATGCTGGTGAATATAAACATTGACCAGGGCCGTTGCTACGCGAATCATGTTGATTCATTGCATTTCACATGTAAATATCTCACGGTTCAAGCGAAATTTATTAGAATATCTATCGGTTAGATTTATATTTTAACATATTTATAAAAAAATATTCGTAAAGCACCGTTTTCTCATTATCTAGATTTTGCGCAGTTAATATTTCGACTCTAAACCAAATTATAAAACCGTGCTTAGACAGTAATATTGTGTGGTGAGTAATCTGGATTTAAAATGCGTGCATATTATCTATTGGGACAGGACACCGACAGATCTCTGTAAAGTGAAAATATTATACAAAAATGGGTACAGAAGGTATCTGACTCTAATATAAGAACTAAGAAATCAAGACAAAATAATTTGCTGTAGTCTTAATTTGCATTTTTATATAAGCAGTGTCATTTATTTCATACAAAATAATGAAAGATGTATTTAATTATTGAACAGGTTAGAAAAAAAATATTCTATTAATAAAACGCGTGACAAGAATTAGCTTTGCCTCTACAAAGGTACCCAACCTCGAACACTGATATATGACACTTGTGGTAAGTGTGCATTGCCTGTGATATCCAAAGCTGATTAGTGCCCAGAAAAAGTCGCTTCAAATGAGTTTCATGTTACAAATACAGATTAAAATGAATACAATTACTCTGCAGATAGCGCAGTCGCAGACGGCGTGCCACAACTAGGCTAAAGTTGAACGCTCTTCTTGGCAATTGCTTAAAAGCAAAGACAGAGCTGCAAATACAACGCCAAGTCACGTGCCTAGGTAGTACAGGAACACTGTTCTTTTTTCAAAATGGCGTTATAATTCAACGTCATACGGTGCCAAGAAAACTGAATTGAATTTTGGCCTTAAAATTGAATTCGTTCCAGTTTTAAATATTCGTGGCCATCAATTGTAGAGTTAGATAGGCTAGTCACTAGAATCTGGGCCGAGGCGAGGATGCCGCTAAGTATAGTCCAGGGTATTCCACCTAACATGAATTTAACATTGATTCAGCGAGTGCACGCGAGAATTGCCGTGCTCGACATAATTCAATTATGAGCCCCAGTTCGTCGCAAAGGTATTTATTGTACGGGTTATGCTTAGATAATTGAGTAGACTAGAAAGAGGCAGTAATTTTACATGTAAAATGTGAAGCAGACGAGTGACGCGCAAACAGTATTAAAAGCCTACATATATTTGGACTGGAAAACAAACGTAAGAATGTGAATTGGTTCACGTCAGAATTGCTACCAGTGCCTCTGTATTAAAGAGATACTCAAGATTCCAAGAGCGAAATGAATTCCTCGTTATCCTTTGTCATCAGTGAAAAATATTAAAGCCATTGTGTTAGAAATAGTAGAGTGGTTTTTTTTTTAACAGTACGTTGTTAAAAAAAAAAACGACCCTTATCTAATAATAATTAACAATGATATTCGCGGTTTTACTAGTTTCGACTTGATGACATGAATTCTTTTTTAATCAGACACTTCAAATAAAACTTGTCAGGTTTACTACTGCCTGATACCAGTACGATCCGCGTCAGGTCGTGCGGCCCAGAGCCCACCATTTCCGTTCTAACACCAGTTCAATGACCAGTAATGATAAAATTCTAAGCCATGGGAGTACGAATCTACTTCAACCTGGGTGTGGCATCCATCCCAGATTAAATACGACGACCTTGCCTTTGTTATTCCATTATTATTTACGTCATTATGTAGTAATGATAGTTACATTGTAAAGATTCATTGATGCCTTTGCGCAGTTTGGTCTGTAGTGTGTCTGTAGATAAGTCGAAATAATTATAATCGTTGGGTTACATAACATTAATAATCCAATACAAAGTTGCAACGTTATTCGAGATTAATTTATGAGTTTAATTACATTATACCGCAAAGTAAAAAAAGAGAACTATGTTATTTCCTACTATATAGTTAATATCTCAGGACGGAAGATACGTACGTACTTGGTATATTTAAAAAAGAGATACATATAAGTTGCTATGACACATATCAAATATGGCATCCATGTTGCCCTGTAAAATGCATGAGCTTTTCTCTCTTGGGACACGTCCGTGGCTGGAATAACGGTTAAAAATTCAAGCTACACTAAAATGTGGAACGTTTGTTTTAAAACGGTAATTACCAGCGTAAGCGGTTCATGTTTCGGCTAGGTTCTTTCCTCATTATGCTTTAATCCAAGCAACTCGGGTAGATTGCGCGTGGGCGTGCCCCTTGAATGAAATTTGCGAATGACTCTCCGACATCTAGATTGTTTAGTACCTGTTGTAACCAGTTTTAGAGGGTACACATGTTTTGGGCGAAGTGATTATCTTTAAACGTTTTCATTAATTTAAAACTACCCTCATTAAACATCAACTAATCTTTAGCAGTATAAATTAGGAATAGAGGCAGATTTCTTGCGGAATGTTACTCGACTTATACAATGTTGTTTAAAAAGGCAGGATTACATTGTTATCGTGAAGAGACGCCCCGCAACATCACAAAGGCTTTCACAAACGAATTTAACTTTCCGCGGTTAACGAAACGGGGACAAATTGGAAACTTTTGTGTAACTAATTGTTTCTATAGCCGTTTTATTTATTGAACGGAGCGGTTCTACACCGCACAATATTGTGGCTTTGATGACATATTTGTAATTTGTGTACGAACAAGACGTATCAAAGAGCAAAGGAAGCAATAACGCTCGCGTTGAGTACAGTGACAGCTCAGAAGAGATTCTGATTGAATACTCTCTTGCGCAGTGCAGACAAATCTGGAGCTAACTAATCCTACCAATTCATTTACCACACATCATTGCTTAAGTAGACGAAATTAATGGCATCCTTTTCGTTGCCGAAGCTTCAAGATTTTCACGTCAGAGACATTCGGTTAGCATTGATTGATCCTTGTTTTAGATTTTTTATAAGGGCGTAATATACCGGCGTTTTTGCCTCTCTACAATTATAATTATGGCATGGCTAGCAAAATTTTATATCAAAATATATTAATTAGTCTTCAAATGAAACCGTGTCCTGGTCAGTTTTAATCTGTACTAAATAAAAAGTGAAGAGTTGTAAGGTTATTTAAAACATATTGAACGGTATATGTCTATTTTTTAGATAATATTCAAGAACGTCGGGAAAATTGGTAAAGTAAAATATAGTTTGACTCCCAAATAACTATTATACGCGGACGAAGTCGCTGGCACAGCTAACTAAAGCGGCAATTCTTTCAAATGCTTTCCTCGATATACGAACAAAGTAGCTTTTACAACTGTACAAGCAACGACCAACACAGAATGGATATTTCACGAGCATTCGTTTAAGCTCTTTCTACGCTTTCAAATAATCTAAGAAAACTAAAGTTCCTTTAAAGTCGGCGAATTGAACATTGGCACCGGCGAACTAATTGATTATAAACTCGGAAATGACTTCATCGGGAGGAACTCTTCCCTTTTACTACATATAAACTCATTTTATCGTCTCCGCTGGAATTGAAATTCACTTTGAATTGAAAATTTGATTCCGCGCTGAATATTCATGGGGAACTTGGATGTGATACGATCTTCTTGGATATTTCAAACACTAGTTTGACGACGTATTTAGTGCGCTGTATTTCCCATATAAATCTTGGGAGAATTAAGTCTAAGATCTCAGTGTATACAAACAAATTGTAGAAGTACAGAGTAGCAATTCGCGCTACTGTTTTACTTTCCTGTACTTATTTCTTTAGTTTACGCGACTAGTACACATTTCAATAAAACAATTTTAACGGTTAAATGCGTGAAATATCAGTTAACTTATTAACAATTGATTTTAACTGCGGCCCGACGTTTTAACTGTCCACTTTGTCCCATCGTGAACACGGATTGCTGCAAAGCGTCCGAAACGTCAGGCCATTGTTTAAATAAACTATAAATTTGTTTAACTAATACATTTCCCGTTTTAAACCGTTAAAAGTGTTTTATTATGTTATCGCCTATGAATGCAATGTGTATACCTATTGCCCTGTGGTTTCATGTAAATGTTACACTGAAATCCATAAGGATGTAACTTATGCTTCTAAAAAGAACAAAGAGTAGCTCTTTAGGTCCTAAGTATTTGCTCTACGCAGGAGCCTGTGGTATCGATTAGGTCGCCTTACGTAAGTCGAAGTTATGTAAGATTTTACAGTACCCA